TTAATATACTGGTCCCTCAATGAGGGAACTTTCAGATATTAAGCTGAAAAGAACAGATACTACACTTTGATCTTAGCCAAAAGGCCGAGAAGCGATGCCAGTATATGATTGTTCCGAGGTAGTCACTCGTCGAGGGAAAATCTTAACACCGCGATTCAGGTATTTTTACAAACTCCTTTGCAGCCGACTGAGTCGTTATCTATTTGTAGTCGGTGAATGTACTGAAGTTGTGGCTCCCTGACTAAAGTTTAATTTGTATGCAATTAATTTCCCAGAATTTGATATTGTTACTAATGTGTAAATGTATTGGATAAATATGTAAATATCTCAAAAAATTGTAATATTAATCAGTCATGCTACGTTGTGTGACTGCACGAAATAAGTTTGTGGCGTAAATGTTTACAGCGACATCTTGTGGCTGTTAAGAGAACTAACTTCGCCAACTACACACATCAAAAGTGTCTAGGGATCAAGTGAATATTTTTAAAATAAAAATTATTTAAGCAATATTTACCAAATCCAGTCTTCCAGGACGACTTCTTACTTTAATGCTTATGTTTTATTTAACCGCTTACCCCTATATTTAATTAAAATAAACTAAAATTGATGTTTTTGTAAATTGTGGGAAAAAACTCAAATAAACGGCGTCAATTAAATGACAAAAAAATGGCGAAAATGATGATTTTGCTCATTTTTATTGTAAAGATAAGAAAATTAATAATCTGTATTTCCACCATTAACACGAATCACACAATTACAGCGATTTGGCATGCTTAAGATGAGTTCATCAAAATCACTTTGAGGAATGGCCGCCCATGTGTTTTGTAACAAGTCAAAATATTGTTGTAGAGTATGTACGGTATGCATACTCGGCACAGCTCTTCTTTGAAGCATATCCCATGCGTGCTCAATTGGATTGAGGTCTGGCGATTGAGCAGGCCACGGCAGAACGTTGATACGAGCTTCGGCAAGAATTCGTGTTACGACTCTAGCCGTGTGTGGACGTGCGTTGTCATGCATTAGTTGAAATGAATCACCCAACTGGCCTCGCAAAGGGATGATAACATCTGAAACAATCCTCTCTGCGTAAACTTGACCATTGAGGTTACCCCTGATCCAAATGAGATCGGTTCTTCCGCCGATCCAAATACCGGCCCATATCATTATTGTTCCCCCACGATATGGATGAACTTCCTGACAATATCTCAAACGTTCATGACGTCCAGATGTTCTCCAAACTCGAGTACGTCTTGTATCAGGTCTCATACCGAAGCGGGATTCATCCGAAAAGCACACACAGCGCCAGTCTTCTTCCTCCCAGTTTCTGTGTTCGCGAGCCCATCGTAAACGGGTCCTGCGATTGCAGGGTGCAATAGGTGGAACTCTGAGCGGCCTTCGGGATCGCAGACCCACTTCACGTAAACGATTTCGGATTGTTTGATCGCTTATTAGCAAGCCTGAGGAGCTGTGGAGCCTCGTAACCAACATCATGGCGGTCATGGTACGATTCCGTCGAGCAGTATTTTGGATATACCGGTCCTGTCTGCGAGTCGTGATGCGAGATCGTCCTCCATTTCGCTCGGCCACGCTGCCCGTCATGCGATAGCGCGTCCAGAGGCGACTTATGACGCTCTGTGTAGTGTTAAGAGTGAAAGCCACAGCACGTTGCCTGGAACCAGCTTCCAACATTCCGACGGCTCGCATCATCACTTCTCGGGTTAAATGATGTCGTCTCTCCATAATAATGTAAATTGTTTCGGTTCCGATGCAGATATTGTAATGATTTTGTCAAAACGCTATAACTCATTTTTATACAAAACCACATTGACAATCGATTTTCTTCTTATTATCGAATTTTAAACAATATTCCTTATTAAAATGTTAAAACTCACTAGAAAGTAACAATAGCGATACAAAAAAGTTAATATAATTAACCCTAATTGCAGCAATACTCTTAAACGTACTTGATCCCTAGACACTTTTGATGTGTGTATGTTGAGTTTGTACGACTTCAGCAAGAAAAAATCCAAGTATTGATAACGGGATATAAAATCACAAGAGTTACGACCACCACGGGACAGGGACAACCTCAATAGGAATGTGGAACTGAGTGGCGATTTTACTGTTTAAGCTTTGACCTTTGTTGATTGTTTTTAGTGTGATTATTTCCAGGTATGTTATTACTATATACACACGTACTTAATAATAAATTAGAATAATAGCATTCCTTAGATAAGTTGAACAGTGAGGACACCTTGTTTCTACAGGAAATAATAACAATCTAAGTACAAATGATTAACTTTTATCTTAAGACAATGACCTAGCCCTCATTACAAAAAATTACTGCACCCATTTATATAACGCATTCCCGTAACAAATCTCGACATTTTACCACCATGAAGTGGAGTAAAGTGGTACTTACTTTTGTGAGTATTTTGTATTTATTTAGCAATGTGTCTGCCTTGTGGTGGTTCCCTTCGAATTTAGAGACTGGCATTGATGGTGTCAAAAAATCCCCGAGATGTAAGTATTTAACAAAATAATATTGATATTCAGTCTTTTTGACGCTAAGTGAGCGCTCCTGAATGCTCGCATTGCTGTTTACAATAATTATACAATTTTCGATTCTCAATGTGCTGTTACTGGCTCCCTCTAGTGTCGTTTTTATTTTGGGCGATATCAGACTCCCTATTTAATTATCCAACAGCTTCAGTATTCGCATTAGGTGATCAGTGGGAACTGAGCGTGTTACCTGCCACGCAGGCAACGACTGGAAATATTTTTGTTGATTTTTGGGACGGGACGAGAGAGTAAAGGAGAGGCTACATCGCGAGCGAAGCTAAGCTGACTTAGCTCACATAGCTGTATTGTATGCAACAAACGATACGATTTAAGCTAACTGAGCTTAACTTAGCTCACGTTGCTACATGCGGAGCTATCTAAGAAAATCCGGGGCCGTAGTGAAGTGCTGCCACTCGACGACGTTAGTCTTTCCCCGTACGGAGGTGAAGGGCGACAGAGTTTACTTAGCTTAGTGGGATCGTTAGGTAGTTAATCCACATAGTTCAGTTACATCGATTTAGCTCAGTTCGCAGTGTGAATAGATGTATGAAAACATGCCGCGGCTACGTGAACTAACTTAGCTTCGCTCGCGGTACGGCCTTTCTCAGTTTTGGTTTGATTATTTTCTATAAGACTGAGAGTCGTATTCCAGAACTCTACTCAATGCTCAAGTCAGGATTTGAGTATGATTTAAAGCACTAGAAATCATACTCAAGTCCTTGCCATTAGGGTCGTATTTCCAGTGTTTGAAATCATACTCAAGTCTGCTCAAATCCTGACTTGAGCATTGAGTAGAGTTCTGGTATTCCAGAAAAGGGTCGAATACTATCCTGAAGGTTGCGGAGCTTATTACCACAACTAGCGTTGAGTGTTTCGTGATTTCTGGGATTCTTGCCTCTCAGAAGACCAGAGTCGGCACTATAGCTATGCACCTAATTATAGGACTCGCGTAGATATATACAACTATTTTCAATTACGTGTAAACGACATCGCATGTAAAGCAGCGGTAGCCTAGTGACAGAATGGTTGCTTCTCAATTGAGAGGTCAAAGGTTCGAGTCCCAGTGCTGGTATGCACACACCTATGACTTTAATCTTCGAATTGCGTACATATGTGAGTATTTAGTAGCTATAAATCTCTCTGACGGTAAATAGAAAATATCGTGAAGCTACACGCCGAAAAAGGCACAGGACATTGGAAAACGTGTGAAGTCCACGACTTAGGGTTTAGTTTGCGGTCTAAACTGTGGTTTCCTTAGAGGAGATCCGTGCCCAGAAGTTGACAGTGTAAAAGACACGTCCAAGTACACATTGTTTACATAAATATTAATTATTTTTGATTTTAGGGAATATACCTTGGCTGGGCATCGGGATTTGGTGCAATGGGTGTCCGCCAAAAGGCTGCGATGACGACGAAGCAGTCATACACGGTTATTGTTGTGGATGCGCTCATGCCTTAGGTAAATTTTCATTTATAAATACCATTCACGTATTACTGGTATGTACATAGGACCAAAGATAATTCTAAGGCTCAATTTATGATACGAGTTTAATGGCAGGTCAAAGAACTATTATTTTACGTTGAAACGACTTTGTTTCAGGATCCAAACGTAACCAATTTCTTAGCATTAGACTCGATTTACATTGCCCGCGGAACGAAATGGAATTTTGTAACCATAGCATACTGAACTTTAGTTAATCATGTACTTACTGGATACTGCGAGCCAAAAAATCAAGTTGCGCGTCGAGTATATCGAGAATTCATGCAGTATAATATTCATTGCATCAAGTGGGTAATATAAAGGTTCTTAAAACAATATAAAGTTCAGCCATGTAACGGTGGTAATTTATGTTTAACTTAAAATCTATAATGCAATTTGAAATTAATGTTAAAATAAGTAGAAAAGTAATAATAAAAACAAAGTAATAATAATAAGTTAAAAATTAAAATATATATGATAATGAAATAGTTTGTGTGTACGATAAACAAGTGACATTCATGTTCATTCTGCTATGTAGAATTTCGTTACAAAATTCGGGTAAAAAAATTCATAAAAAAAAGATCTGTTCCGCTGCTTGATGTAACAAATCTTTGGACCCTACAATAATTTTTTTGTTATAATTTTTCACCCATTTTTTGGGATGGCAAAGGTTCCACCATTTTAGTATCTTACCACCGCCTCTTCCTACATTAGTATCTTTCCTCGTTTCGATGGAAAATGGGACATGGGCCTTTTCTCTATTAGTTTATTTCACATGTCATAAAGGGTCGATGTTATATGCGTTGTATAATTGTAAGGGATAGGGTAACCTCTCACCCTAAAACAATGTCATTTTAATGTAAAATAATAATTGTTTTGACTTACCACTACACTCATATCGCAAACATCCTAAATCAACACTTTTGTACATACTATTACAGATAAACTGCCTGTGATGTGTCCTGAATTTCTGCAGTGTCCCCTTAATTTGCACGGGCTTTGTCATGACTACGAATACATGATGAGGTGCTGCTGTTGATTTGGTTTTTTATCTTTAATTCAGTGTTCGAAACTTATTTCAAATATCATGCAAGATTTGAAATGAAAATAATTTCATTCTAGGCTATAATTTATTATGACATTGTGTACATTCTACAAAATAAAACATCTTTATTTATAGCATACTGTTTTAATTTCTAAGAAACCCTCAATACAGAAATACAGTGGGTTAGCGGATTGATTTAAGTAAACTTAACTCTTGACATAATAGTACAAAAATAACCACAGACGTGAGTAAGATGTAGATCGACCGATAGTAAAATAATTTATACACGGCGCCGGCGCAGCGTTGCCGGCGGCAGCCTCGGCCCATTCGCTTAATACTTTTAAGTAAAAAATAGGTTGAAATAACGAAACGGCAATATACAGCCGATCGCAACGCTGCGCCTTTACATTTTAAAACTATCACAATATTACTGTGATATCGCTATGTCTTTTAATTAATACTATGTTCCCGCTGGATTGTAATCGATGTCTACATATCATTAACTATAATATCCGGCTAAATTATCTAAGGCCAACTTGCTATATCTACAATTTTGTGTTAAAAATTACAAAATTCAACACAAAATTCTCAACACAGCCAAACCCTAGTACGCCCCGCTATAATAGATATAATATTGAATAATATAAACACCCAGTGCATACGAAGATTTATAATTAGTACCTTTTGAGTGGTAGAAAATTAAAAACGTAATTTTAGCTGGAATAACAGATATTAATTAGCCTATAGTTCGTAATGGACAGCTTTCGAGAAGATAAAAATTCATCTTATTATAAGTTACAGCTAGTTTAACGAATTCACGAGTGTGATACAAGCCTCGCTTGAGTCGCTAGTCCATACAAAATAGTGTTCCATATCCTCACATATTACCTATACTGCTTTCGACACCTGCATCGTATTTTGGAAACAGCACAAATTAACCTACGATATTCATTATATATAAACATGTATAAACATACACCCATGCATGTCACCTCGTTCTTTAGAAGTAAGTTGAACGGACGATAGCAAACGAGAAGTTAGCTTACGTTAAGGGGAGGAACTTATGTACGCGCGGCAGAGGCGTTTATACTTTTAAATTATCGGGCTTATTCACGTAAAGACAATACAATACAAATATACTTTTAGACGGTAATTTGCGGCCTTAGAAGCAGTGGTTTTCATTTAGCACTAGAGTGGCCCATAGTCCGCGTGTACAAAAGTTTCTGAAGTGTTTTTGTACCGCGCGGGAGACGCGGTGCGGCGGAACTATAGTATATCATTTAACTGTAAGATGCGATGAATCTTTTGTGGTAATTGCATTTTAGTTGCGGGTGTGGCGGCCGGCGCCTGCGACTCCCACTTCCCTTGCGTTATGCCGCCAGCCTGAAAAAATTATTACAGTTTAGTGTGACACAATTGTTAAGTGTGACAGTAAATATTATAAGTTTATAGAGTTTTAGAAGAATATATTATACGAGTATATATCGATACCTCTCACGTACGTTGTTGTAAGTAAAAAAAGATTTGAGTTAAAAAGCAAAAAAAAAAAATAGTATTTTGACTTACAACATCTTACGTGGGAAGTATCGATATTTAGACGCCCTGCAGACACAAACAATTTTACTGGATCTTCTAATACATGTGTCAAAAAATAATATACACTACAACACATTTCGCTTTCTGTTGGCTGTCGTGAACAGGTGAGATGAAGAATGTATGCAGATCGGTTGCCCGAAAAATATAAGTTTTCAAAAGCGAGTAACTTTCTAGGCAAGCATGTACCACTCTCGATCGAGATTGTGGTTAAATAAAAAACTATTATATAATTTTTTAACTGTAAAATTGTTGTAATATACTTACCGTGCGGTCGGCATTCAGCAGCAAGAAGACTTGCCAGTATCGATGGGGCGTCCCTGGTCGATCTTGACGGCAGCGCCTGGTGGCGCGGCTCCGGCCGACGGCGGGCCCACGCGTCCCTTGATCTCCGCCGCCATGGTCATGAACGCTTGTTCCACGTTCGTCGAGTTCTTGGCCGACGTTTCAAGGAATGGAATACCCAGCTGTTCGGCGTATTGCTGTAAATAATTACACATTATTCATAAGATCTGCATTATGCATTACGGACTCGTACTGACTGGTGAGGTCTAACCACGGAAAAAGAAAACAATGGAAGTGTCATAAGCCTCGATAACTATAGAAATAGGTGTTGCCAAAATGCACACACAATGATAAACACTATGAAATCTTGATGATGATTGGTCATAGTTTTTAATAATAATAAAAAAAGAGTTCACGCCTGAAAGTTCAAGATCTTTATTGTAAGTTACGACGATTTGATTTTATATTAAAACTTTATTGAACATGCTGGTATCTCGCGGCTAGTAGCTGGACTACGACGAACGATTAACATCTGAACGAATTTCAGACTTACAGATGATTTGAAATACTACTACAGGTAATATTTGTAGTGCACCTATCACTTTTGCACTCCAAAACAGCACAATAAGGCATTTTTGTACTATTTTAGAGAATGAAAGAATGACACAACCATGCCGTACAAAGAGAAAATGGCGGACTGAGCGCAAGTGGGTCTTTCGAGACCACGAGAATTGGCACGTGTCGGACGCTAACTAACCATTTCTACTGTATTTACTGTTCTGTGGGTCTAACTGTCAGTAAAGCAACAGATCTCGTCAGTGTCAAGCCTAATTAGGAGGTCATGGATCAGCCTGTACCTTAGCACGGTGAGTCATACAGCCATGTGAGCTGTACTAAACCACCCGAGTGAGTAATCCAACAACGCAATTATTTAAGTAAGGTGTGTAACACATAAGACGACATTAGACTTCTTTAAAAAAAAGGCAGATGGTTTCTTTGCTCACTAACAACTAAGTGAAAGTTCAAAATGCTTTAGAGCCATCTTCCTTAATCTGGGGTACACGGAAGTCCTCATGGCACTGGAAGTCAGCAGATTCCTCTTTGACATTTAAATAAACAAATATAACTTTAATTGATAGATAGATAAAAACTTTATTCACTTCCATGATATCTTATTTACATAGGATCCACTAAAATTAATACCATAATTATTATTATATTGAACCATTACATCAATTTTTTTATAACAAAAGGAACATATAACTACACATATAACTAATTAAATTGTTTTGGAAGAAATGGCAGTGAAAAGGCGCTGGCTCAGCATAAATGTCGCAGTTTCCCACGATCCAGGTATTCCGCCAAAACCCTGTTAGAAGAGACGCCACTCATCATCTCAGACAGTCATCTGTTGCTGTTTTTGTTATTAAGTGTCAGAGATTTTCCTATTCATCTTTGTACGATTTTTTCTTGACCTATGCGCGATTAAGAAAAGCTACTTTAGAGCAAAGAGTGCATGGTGTCCGCAATGCCAACATTGTAATAAAGAGTTTTCTAAGTTTATATATATATAACTCACATTGGCTGTGGTATAGTCGACAACTTTCTTCGTGGTGAGATCGCACTTGTTGCCAACAAGCAGCTTGTTCACGTTGTCGCACGCGTAGCGATCGATCTCCTCCAGCCATTGCTTCACGTTGCTGAATGAATCCTGCAATTTAACAACAGTATGGTAAGACCCTACATTGCTTATGTAAAACGTAGTATGGTCTGGTCTAATGGACTGCTTTCCGTATCGCGACATCTTAGCGTTTATTTTGCGTGTCACGAAGCTTTTTAATATAGAATCGAATTTAAAATAGCGATTTTCAGGTTTTAGTAACGGAGTTATCACCATTTTAGGATCCAATTCAAATTCAAGAAAATTTTAAAAATCTGGTCTAGAAACTTTTTTATAACAAATATTAGACAACATCACATACGTTGCTCTGATGCCAAAGTTCCAAAAACTACAGCACTTGTTTTATGGATATCGGAAACAACGATGGTACTACAAACGCCCAGACCTGTGACAATATAGAAGAGTTAATTCTTCATTGACCCGATCGGGGATCGAACCCGAGACTTCAGAGATGGCGACATCATGAAAGCCATTGTGCAAGCCACTCGACCACGGAGATCGTCGAATTGATTCTATATAGAATAAGTAGATATCAACTATTTGTGTCATGATGAAAATTCCTTTTACAAACCGGTTACTACGATGACTCATTTTCGCATTAGTATTTTACGACGACTGTCAAATGGCTCACTAAGCGCAGCGATTATAGCAAATCATCCTTTTACTTAATAAGGTATTTGACAAATTGATACCTCGAATGAAGAATACTATGCCAACTTTATTTTTCTGTTATTTTTTTGTAAACAGGCATATTTATCTACTAACATTACACTTTCCGAATTTTGTGAAAAAAAAATTAATAAAGAAACTAAAAACAAAATTGGAAAAAACGAATTTTGAGAAAAAAAAATAAAGATACAAAAAACAAAATAAAAACAGAACAGGTCTAAAAATTAAGTTCGCGTAGTGTTCATTGTAAAAATCGAAAATTTAATAGCTTTCATTATTATACGTTAAAATATAGATAAACTTTAAAATAAAATTTTATGAAAAATAAATAAGAGGCATTAGAAAAAAATAGGTGTGACATCATATTTATATAAACTTTAACTAATAGTTTAATGTAATCATTGTGGAATATAGTGTTAAATTGGCCATCCTTATCGCAATCACATTGCTTCATGATTAATGGACTTAGTATTGTCGTATCTAAATTATTAGTCCTATACGTATTGAGAGTCTCTTTATTATCACAATGAAAGACACACCGATAAGAATTGTGTTCTGTAAAATCTACTAAAATACTGGCAACACGGTCGAGCTTACCTGCAAGTAAAATTAGGTAATTTTCCGAAAAATTTCAAATAGGGTAATTTCTCAGGAAAAATTCCGAAAAATTGAAAAAACATATATTTTTTCATATATTATTAACGAAGACCTTTTTTATAATATCAAGTGACGAGAGGAATAAGTTGTGAGCCTGATGGTAAGCTACACGCCTGTCCATAACAGTTTCAATGTCACACAATTTCGCACATAGAGATTCCGGAAAACTCAGACGTTCGAATCCGGATTTAAAAACGGCCTCTGCTTGAATTATTATTCTAAGAGGGCCGCCTCTCTCATGATGCGTGTGCGCGACAGTGCCACGTGAATCCTGGCCTCTGTTGCCAACAGGCTGGACTGCCCTTACCAAAACCATTGGGTGCAAATAAAAATTTGAATAGGATAAGGGCGCGTTTATTCGACACGACTTTCATCGCGCTGATGCCGCGCGGAGACCGCGTGGCCGCCGCGCACCGACCGCGTGCATCTAACTGTCATGGCAAAATCCCCTTTATTCATTTAGCTTTTACGTTTTAACTTAAATGAGCGTCTCGGGCGCGCTGGCGAGGTTGGCTTGTCTTTAGTCTATGCGGCGTCCGCGCGGTTGTATTGTTCCGAGGAATTTAAATGTTGTTGCCTAGTAAATAGAATTCAGATTCGTCAGTAATGTACGTGGGTAACAGGGCGGTCAACGCGCGGCGGCCACGCGAAAGCTTTCGCGTCGTGTAACTGGGCGTTAATGGTTTAGCCGTGACATTTTTTCTGTTTAGAATTAGGTCAATTTATACTGTGTTGTACTAACCTTAGTATGTAAGAAAAATTTATACAATATTACTAACTGTTATAGATCATATGGTCTGAAATAAATAATTACATCCTATTCTAAAACAAGTATATTATAATAGGCCTTTAAAAAAAATGTAAATGCAACAATACAAAACATACTTAAATAAATATTATGTAAATAACAGCCAGTTTCTAATGTAGTAATAATAGAGCAAAACCGTAAAACCAAACGAGTTATTAATGTGTCATAAAGTGATAGTTAAGTGTTTATTTATTTACCAGTGAATTTAAACACCACTGAATAGAAGAGTTAATTATGTAGTAAATATATCCTCGTTTCCCTTTCTATAGTAGCATCAGTACTAATTGGATGCTGATAAACGATAATGTGTTAATCCACTTGAAAATTCAGATATTAATGCCAAATTATAGCTTGCCTTCTCGTCTACATTTCACAAACATAAACCAAGTAATTTGAAGCTATCAAATAATAAAAAAGGTAAAAACAGTTGACATAAATCCATTAGTCACTATGGCTAAAAAAAACTATAGGTTCCGTTTTCTCAAAACTATGGTCATGCTGGTTGGCACGTTATTACTTATCAACATCCAACTTACACTGGTCTATTCTGGGGTACTATAACTGATACAAATATTTGCGCTTCACACGTTTTCGGTTCGTGTTAAATAGGCAACCTGGAAACCTGCCAACTCGAGAAGTAGACTGGAGTGTATGCATGTAAACAAAGACAGTAATGTGTTAGTGTATCAATGAGGCAAGGCTTAGTGACTGGGTGACCTGTTTCGTGCAAACATACAATAAAATACAAAATTTCTTTTTTGTATACAAAATGAAAACAAACACAATACAATTAAACAAAAAATAAGCAGTGGTTACGGTCTTATTGATTGAAGCGATGGCTGCTAAACAACCCTTGCATGGAAGTAATTATACAGGAAAAAGACAGCAGTGTATGCAAATTATGTAATCGATAGATAGGAAATACACAATATAGAGCAATTGCTTTCTTTAACTGTGAGCCAATATAATGCAATTTTACTACGAATGCCCATCAACCTGAGAAGAATGGCGATTATGCCTATTTCTCCTGTTATTTTTTAAAGCTGCAGAGGACTATGTAGCTTTTTACCTTTTTACCTTATAACTATTAGTGACAAGACGAACAAGTCATGCCTGTCCATAATAATTGCATTGCCACTCAGAGCTTTAAATCGCTAAAATCTGAGTAGCACTGCCACTACACCCGTCACCATGAGACATAAGTTCACAAGTCCCATGTGGCTGTAATTTCACCACCACTCCTTACCCTTCAAAACCGGAACACATTAGTGCTTAACAGCAGAAATAGATAAGAAAGGCATTACTTCCGTCGACGAACTCTTTCACAAGGAACTCTACGGCTACTACTCTTCTGTTGATGGTTATTAAAGAAAATTGGAAAGCCTAACACTGCGTTGTAAGCGTTGGTAGTTTTAAAATTCTTTATTCTTTATCACTCATTTGCTGACTAACTTTCTACACCTTTATTTTTAACCACAACAAAATATAAAATTCATTTGATCAGTCAAACTGATAATGAACTAAAGTTCTAATAATTTGCATTATAGTTGAAATTACATAGCAAAATCTCTGTAAACAATGTTTGTTTTGTGAAGGTTATTCATCAAACTAGCTGCCAGGTCAATGCATTAGGTACACAAGATGCAGTGAACTTTGTTGTTATGAACTATTTTATAATTAAATTTATAGTTCTTCGAGTGTATAAAGCAGCAGCAGGCAACTGAAGTGACATGTGGCAATATGTTAATATTATATATACAAATACACTATATTCAACTGCCTCTGTGGCCAAACAGTTACCATATTGTACTGCCACGCAGAGGTGCCGGGTCCGATTCCCGGGCTGGGAGAAATATTTGTATGGAAATGGAACTATACTTCCGGATTTCTACATGATTTTTCAAATAAACCAACGTTTCGGTCAGTCAACCATAACCATGAGTTAGTTTATTAAAGTTAGTTGATTTGAAAAAACAAATATACGCGATTTAAATTCAGAAAAATAGTTTAATTTCTTGCATGTAAAAATCGAGAAAACGTAAGAACTCGATAAATATTTGTATGGCGTACATTTAGTTATCTCGTAAGTTTGAGTGTAATTTGTGGTTGTCTATGTGTGTGTCCATGGCACCCGCGATGCAGTGTGCGTTATTATTATTATACAGATCCAAATAATTTAGTACTCACAAAAATTATTTTTACATACCCGTATTATAAGTCAGACATCGTATTAGGTGGCTATCCATTGCGTGTTCAACTCATACAACAATATGTTGTACGAATTTCAAATGTCTAAATTAAGACATAGCAGTATAAATTTAGCTACCTACACATTGACCTACCAACAAATACCTACATATAAAAAACCTACCACCAAAAGTTCCAAAATGTAAAGTATAGTAGGGTATCATGTATGTGCCATGAGACTAATTGATAAAATTATGTATATAGAAGTTATTTTTGCACCAAGTGATTGTTTACCAATATAAAGTAACAGTATATTACTAAAATTATATAGTATGCTGTAGAAAGAGCACAAATAAGTAATATTATGATAGTACAACAATTTGCTGCTTAAGTTATATCGTATGACCTTCTTGTGTGACGATTTGAAGGTGTATTGCCTAATGCAGCTATCCTCCAAGAAGCTCGAGTAGGACAAAGTCGTTCAGACAGTCAGGAAGGGTGTTCATATTGGTCAAGATGCTCATTCATGTGTTGTCATGGCTGAGACTTGTTCATCACATGGTTTTGTATATCACATTATCTTCCTTATATGACATTTTTTATTTTTTGAGTCCTGATGAACAGTTACAGGTATTTACTGAATTTCAAAATTTTGTTTCTCTGATTTTACTGGTTAATTATTAATATCCATTATCCAATAATAACCATTCATTACAGATATTCTCAATCTATAATATTTGTTAGTAAAATCAAAACATACTTCAAGTAATTATACATAACATTATTCTACATCATTATTATACTCAAATTAAAAATAATTATAAGTTTAGTAGGCAGAACATAGCTGACCAACATCAGGGCAAATGACTAGAAATTGAGTGGTGTGCCATAAAAGAATTCATTTACACAGAACTGTGCAAGTTTACCTATCCAGTGCCATCAAAATGCAAGTGATTTGTATTTATTTATCATCATCAATATTTTCATATAAGACTGTGGGGAGCATATAACTATGCATTTAAAAAGTATCATGTTTACAGCAGATTTACAAACAGAACCATTTTGAATAGATTTTTCATACCTTTTATTTTAAAAAAAAACCAGATTCCATAAGACCCATTCTATGCATATTACTTTAATATACTCTGTCTACTAATAATTATAACATAAAAAATATATAGTTTCACAGCACATGGTGATTATTTGTGTATCTTTTGTTACATATCAATTTGCCTTCATATACTAAATGATAGTAATTATAAATTTTTTATTAAAAAAAATCTGACTTCAAAAGTTCATGGAATTACAAAAAAATACATACAATACAATACAACATCATTATAAAAAAATATAGATAAATTGAAAACCTCCTCCTTTTTTGAAGTCTGTTAAAGAGGTGTGAAAAGACATTTAGTTGGAGTTTTGCTCACCTGGTCTGTACAGTCGTAAACAATAATAATTCCGTGCGCTCCTCTGTAGTATGACGACGTGATTGTTCTAAACCGCTCCTGTCCTGCAGTGTCCCATATCTGTAGCTTTATTGTCTTGCCATCTAATTCTACAGTCCTAATTTTAAAGTCCACACCGATAGTGCTGATATAGCTCTCCGTGTATGTATCGTCGGCGAATCTGAGCAGCAAGCACGACTTCCCCACACCAGAATCACCAATCAACAGCAACTTGAATAAATAGTCACTGCAAATAAAATTAACATATTGAAATGAATAAATACAAAGAAAACGTCACTGCTATTGAATACCGACTCAATATGACTGGGAGAATCGAGATAATGCAGGAACCTATTAAAGTAGGCGTATCTTTGTTTCGTATCATAATCTTGGTGTGGTTAAATAAACAAAGCAAATAAACCAACACTCTGTTACAACATCAACAAAAATCTGGTTTTCTCACATAGGAACAGGTAAGTATGTAAAATACGTGTTATGATCGACAACCACAAATACGCCATTCACAACGATACGATTACGTTTTTACGTATTCCGAGATCGTAAGTACCACGCATACATAATGTTAATGTAATGACTCACCAAATCCGAATTTCGATTAATTATTACTCATACGTCATGTGTTTGAAATAGGAGTTGTATAAAGTTATTGTTACAAAATGTAGAAGGAAGACAATGAAATCGCGAAAAAAGGAATGGGTTTCTGCCCATCCTTGTTTTCAGACGTCATGCTACTATAAGGATACTCACTATTCTGGATTCATTTTTGTACTACAAGTGTATTTTCCACAAAATTACGAAGCTGAGAAATATCTTGAAAATAGTTTAGTCCTTTGTTTCGAAGCACTAAATAGCAAAAAAATTAAAATTATACGTAGAATAATGGCCGCCGACACCGAAACACCCACACTGACGTAAATGTAAGTCAGACGACAGGAGTGCCACTTGGCAAAACTTAAAATGCGTTCAAGATAAGCACGTATAACAAACAATGTTCGTTCGTTATAAGTTGTAACCGCTCAAACAACCTTCGGAACCGGACCGATATTGGTTTCTTTATTATAACAAGAGTATAACTATAGATTTTCTTCTTTCACATTGAAAAGAAACTATTTCAAATCACGTTAATAATAATAATGACGCAAACACTCACCATAGTCCCGCACTAGGGAAACCCTGTGTCACGGGCATAGATCATACTACATCATACACTACACTACACTACTATCATACACTATATTTGATCGCGGGCTTGGACGTAATGTCGCGGGTGCCATGAACACACATAAACACACATAGACAACTACAAATTACACTCAACTCACGAGAGAAATAAATGTAGGCCATGTAAATATTTCTCGCGGCTCGGGAATCGAACCTGGGACCTCTGCGTGGCAGTCCGGCACGGTAACAGTTCGGCCACCGAGGCAGGTAAATTCGTAATTACATGTATTTATACATATCGTATAGAGTCAATGATGATCTTATATTTCCTTTATTTTATTTTCACCTCTATGTCATAAATACTTAAAAACTTAAGAGCATGAAAAAAATCTTCTAAAAAATTCATTCATTATCCTGCATTGCAATCTTTCTCGTCGTACGCCGCATAATGCAGGATTATAAATGTAGTCGTGGCGTGCAAGCCATCCTGCAATGCGTCCTGCGAGTCTCCATACATGGGCCATACGCAGGATAGTGTGTGAGCAGTCTCTTAGCTGCGCGGCGGACTGCCATGCAGATAGTGAATGGGCCGTATAAGGGCATATAGTAAAACTGTGAAACAGTATAATTTTTACTTTTGTTCATCATTATTTACTATTTTCACGCATATTTTTACTTTTTCCACACTTAAAAGTAATATTGTTTGTACTTTGTTGAGACAGTTGCTGTTTCGGGCGCAATTTTTATTGTTATGGTAATATAGTTCTATTGGCGGTTATATTGGGAACTAAGGCTGCTAACAGATTGACTGCATATTTGCAGTTAACGCATGAAGTCGTAATCACTCAGAAATCTAAATATTGCTTATTTATTTAGATTTCTGTGGATGTCACAGCCGTATTGTATAAAGCGCTGTATTACATTACTGCTAGGAGCTTCGCAAAACGGCGGCGTTGGGTTCTAATACGGCCACCTTGTGTTCAGACGGATTGCAATTCGCCTAAAAAAAATGCCTACTAAAAAGCCTACAAAATCGCGTTAAGCGAAATTCGCGTAAAACGGGGTTGATCTTTTTTGTGTGGCCCACCTTGTCTGGAATGCTATAAACTTGATATTTAAAAAAATGCGTCCCTCGCGTAAAGCGGGCTATTACTTATATCAAAGCATGCATGACGTGCCCTATGTATTTTGGCGGCACATTTCTTAGCCGCTTTGTGAAACGCTACGTGCTATTACAATGCGGCGTGCTTTTTTTAGGTAGCCGTATTAGAAAACAGCGCCGCCGTTTTGCAAAGCGCCTAGCAATAACGTAATACGGCGCTTTATACAATACGGCTGTGACATATCCACAGAAATCTAAATAAATAAGCAATATTTAGACTTCTGTGGATTATCCTTTAAATAGGCATGTGTCACATATAAAAAATAGGTTAAAGAAAAAAGTGCTGCCGAAATAAACTTACCCCGTCGTGGACAGGCGACTACCTTTCAATCATTCGATTATCATCATGCTGAAATAAGGCACACAAAAGTTTTGTACAATATATACATAGATAGGATTGAGCTAGAAGTTTAATTCTCTTGTAAGTTGGTTGGTTAGTTTGGTTTGCAATTTAACTGTATAAAATCACTAAAATAAACGAAAACTTCACTCTTCAAAGTTTATTTTTTTATATACATTTAAATAACTAAACTTATGGTGACAAACAACTAAAATGTAAAATTCTACAACATCAAGTAGAAGGTACTAAACAAATAGAGAGTTTATAAGATCATTTCTTGCAACACGGCGAGGGGCATCTTCCATATGTACAAGCTCCTGTCCTTGTATCCGGCTATGATCTGCAACAATTATTTGCATTTGCTATAAAATAACTATACTATGCTTATTTAGAATTGAATACTGGAGTATAGCCGCTTTTTGAAACGCCACGTGCTAGTACAATGCGGCGTGATTTTTTTTAGGCGAATTGCAATCCGACTGAACACGAGGTAGCCGTATGCACGTCGCGTCCGACCGGCTAGTTTGGCAACCTTTGGGGGAGGCCTATGTTCAGCAGTGGACGTGATGATGTATAGCCGTTTTACTTGTTAGCTTCGTTTCACTTTATTTAGGCTATATGGCATGGCATGATGACAACTGTCAGGCTTCGGCACATAATATTCGGGCCGACGACTCTCGATTCGCCGAACCGAATATGTGTCGAGTACGAGTGGGCCTAGAATGTGGTGTACCTTAGTGCCAACAATGGCCAGTGAAAGCAACATGAGACTTGGTCCTCGTAGCTGCGCCAGCGCACGACTGTCGCCCTCGCGATACACGTACACGCAGCCGTCGTAGCAGCCCGCAAATAGCAACCCGCCTGTCGCACGGAGGCAGACGGCGCCTTTGCCGCCGTCATGAGTACCTACGTGGCTGCCGCTCTGTAATGAATAATTATATCATTTAGAAAATGACCATCAGCCGTCGTTAGGTTTTACCAGAAATGCAACATTAGATTTAATGTTATTATTCAAGTAATTTAACAGCGTTATCTGGTTATAAGGAACCAAACTTGGATGAAGGGTTAATTAACTAAACACTTAATAAAATGTTCCAAATGAATCATGAGAAAAATAGTCATACTTTCGGAACAAAAAATAAAGCACTCGGAAGGAACTCACGGCGTAATCAAAAACGTGTATCTGAGGACTACTGGTTCCGCAGTACACTTTTCCATCTTCAAATAACAATGTATAGACTGTCATTTTGGGTCCTTCTAATGTCCTTAGCAACAATCCAGTTTGGGCATCTTTAATGGTAACTGCTTCGGAACGAGCGGCGACGAGAAGAACCTTGCGAGGGCCTTCTTTCATTGCACGAAGGGCTAGAATCGATTGCTCCGAGAACTTCACAGTGCTAACTGGTATTAACATGTTATTCTGTAAGAAAGAAAACTATATTTTATTATAATATGTCAACAGAAATTACTTAAATAGTTTACATTTTCTCAAAAAAGACAAAATCTGGATGCATAACGCTATTGGTACGCAGGTAACTAAATAAATAATATAAATCACGATGTGTTTGTTTGTATTATCTGAACAATAATCTCGGTCACATCCTCACTCAGCATCAGGTAAGATAGTGAATGTGCGTGTGTTTTTTACGTACAAAAAAAAAATAATAAAATAGGTAATTATAATTATTTTATATAATATAATAATTATAATTAGAAAAAAATTTCAAACTATAATGCATATAATCTGTATAATACACTGTTATTTAGGTTTTTCAGCTGTGATTTAAACTTGTAAAATACAACTTATACAAACACCAATCTATAAAAACGGTTTATTAGTTTACCTTGCATTCAAATTGCAAAACAAATCCTGTTCTAGTGCCGACGAAGACGGTGTCCCAAGCACGGTCCATTGTCTGAATAGGACTCAGCACGTTGCACTCCGGGCCTTTCTCCAGTCCCGTCTGAAAACACATAATTGTAATATTTAAGGTTTCCTTCGAAGTAGTGGTAATTTGAGGTAAGATCCACGCTTATACGAAATGATACGCAATAATTTCACGATTTTTTTGTCGCCTCAATCAACCGTGTCAGTTGATACAATTAAAACGTGCTGAGAAAATGAAGCTAAAATTAATTTTTTCAATGTATCCACAGATTTTAATGATAAGGTTGGTAGTGGAGAGAAGCTTTCTATCTTATCAATGTGGCGTTAATTTCCGTCATACAATTGAATTTCCGAATGTCTGTAATTGGTGTATTATAACTAATTTCTATTCAATTTCACATTTTACCGACAAGTTTGGCACGTGTTACAAATCTGATACGTCAAAATGGTACAAATCTGAGCCTAGTCCCAATAAGATCTGTCAAAATCGGAACCTAAGCTTGGATCCTCATGTGTATTGTCTATGTGACAGGGATTCTGCTGATAAGATAGGAATTGAGATGTAAGTATATTCATCCTTAGATTTAGGGATAGATATACTATAGTTAGGCCCATTTTAAAGTGATTTTCTAAGTTTTTGAAATCTCTCGCCATAAAAGAAAGGTAAGCAAGTTTTTTTCAATACTTAAAAAGGTCCTTTTAGATTTTTGTATTTGTTAATTTACTCACCTCTAGGTCATAATATCGTATTCGCGAATCCAAAGAACCTGTGTACACGGTAGTGCCATATTTTTCCTTCACGATAGTAAGGCAGGTCACAGCGAGGTTCGATCCGCGAAGTGTGTTCAAAAGCTGTCCTTCTCCAGTAAAATAATATACATTGCCATCCAAACAAGCAGCTATGAAGTTGTTTTCTATACACTGAAATAAATTATAATTACATTATATGGGTTTGTCCAGGTAAATATTGACAAAACGTCAATAAATTCAATTGAAAATTATCGTGTAGTCCCACTATGGTAGATGAGGTAAAAAAGAATTACTTGCGTAAAAAAAGAGAATTAAAAGATGCTAAAAACAGCTTTCAATGTTGCTTGCAAAGAAACTTACTTCAATGGCAAGAACAGCATCAGCATTCCCCGAAACGATAATTGAATCGCGTCGCAAATTCTCGTCTGACAAGAAATCGTAGACTCTACATTCTTGGCTTTTATCCTCGATCTCAGCACACGACGCTTCTTCTATTGACTGCTGGCTATTGTCCAAGATTATCTCTTCATTAATCGAACCCGGCGATGTATAATTTTCGTCTTTTTCTGACGATTTCACTTCGCAGCTGTCACCAATCACAATGTCTTCCGACACGTCTAACATGTCAAATTGAATATCACTTACAATCGTCTCTTCATCTACATTTTCTTGCTCTACAATATCTTCTGTCTTAGAAGATAAGTCTGTTCCAGACTCCGTAATATTGGACGTTTCATCCACTTTATTAATTCTGTTTTGTTTATTAAACTCAATAATACTCTTTAACATACTTTCTAAGTCATCACGTACTAATACAACAGAACATTCTTTTAAAGCATAATTATCTGTCTTTGAACTGGTTTCAATTTGTTTTGTGCATTTTTTATTTGGTTTCGATTTTGGCTTTGCCTTATACTTTTTGTAAGATTTGGATGTCGGAACTGGCAGAACTTCAAGATAATCTAATGAAATTATATCTTCTAAAGGTCTATCATCTGTTATTATTTGCTCTATGAGAGATATATTTGGCGTTTTTGCTTTTCTCTTAGTTCTGGTATTTGTCGAACTTGTGGTGGCTGGACTCAAGGATGATTTTCTCTGTCGCTGGAGGACTTTGTGACGTAAACTTCGCCTCTCTTGTGCATTATCACCCTTTTCTTCTTGAACTGTCTCAAAAGCTATTTGTTCCAACTCTTCCACAGGTATATTGGTAAAATCATCCACAATAGCATCTTCTACAGCATCATCATTCAAATAATTTTCATTTAATGGAGCTACATTTAATACCGCCATGCCTAGTGATTGCATTGTATTTGATGGACAACCTTCTTTGGATTCTATTGAACTGTACAGTTTGAATTTTTCTTGTAAAAGTGTTTGAATTTCCATGTCAATTTCTTTCATTCTTTCAAAAGCATCAGTTGTCTTAGAAGTTGATCTGAAAGAATCTGGTTCAGTTTGCATTCCTCGAGTCATCAATTTTTTTCTCTCAGTTTGACAAAATCTGGATGTACTACTCTTGCTCTCCATGGTCTGTGTTTCTTTATGTGAAGTTTTCTGAATTACCTGAGTGGAAATGTGTCTCTTGATTATTTTCCTATTTATGGGTAAAGGTGGCTTTACGGTTTCCATGACAGCTGTGTTTAAAGTAGCTACCGGAGCTGTGTTTCTGTGTGCTTGGTGTACATTAGGTTTTTTCGGATGATCTAAGAACATGTCAATGGTCTTTAATTTAGAATCTCCTTTGGTGGGCGTCTGAGCTGAACTGTTAGCAACATTTGTTTCTGTAGGACTCAGTGTGGAATGCCTAGACGAAATGGAATCATGTTTTTTCTTATCACTTCCTTTATCTTTCGACTTGTTTGAGCTTTTTTCTTCTTTTCTCTTTATGTGTTTATCTGAAATTTTGATACTTTTATCCAGCTTATTTTCTTTTGAAGAATTATTTCCACTTTTTTCTTTTGAAAAGAATAAGTTAAATATGGATTTTGGGGCATCACATTTTTCAGTTGTAGACTTTGCAGCACAATCATTAACATTTATAATAATATTCTTATTTAATACCTGTTTATTGGATTCTGTGTGCATTTGTTCTGATTCGCTTTTCTTGCGTTTTTCTTTTCGGTGAGATGGTTTTTCTTCTACAGATCTTTTACGAGATAGTGTTGAAGATTTAGTCAAAGTGCTGCTCTTTCTTTTATCTGTATTTCTTTCAGTGTGTTTAAAGTCAGAACTAGATTCCTGATGTTCATCAGTTTTCTCGCCTGAATCGACCATTTGTTTTGGGTTAATTTCCGCATAGGTGGCAGCTTCCTGTTTTGTGTCTTCTGTAGATTTCCTTGGTTCTTCACATTTGCTTGAAAATTTTAAAGGTGATTTAGCCATATTGTGTAGCTGAGTGTCAATTTCTTTTTTTATTTGGAATGCATTACGAACTGTATATGGTTTTTCTACTGGATTCTTGGACTTTTCAGGAGTATATATAGTAGTTGAGATTTCTTTCTTTACAATTGGTGAAGTGGTGGCAATGGTTGGAACTTGAGGTTCAGAAATAAGATCATCATTGTCAATAAAATTGTGATCCACAGCAACATGATACTGTTTGTCAAGTTCTGCAAAAGGATCCTCTTCATCAGAAAATTGTTCAATGTTAGCATCAAAAAGCGAAATAGGTGTTTCACTTCTCCTGTATTCACTATTTGATGGTAAAGGACTATCATATGTTTTATAGTCATTTGGTGCAGGAGTGGTAACATTTCTATATTCATCTGGAGTAGGAGTACTCCTGTGTCTATGCTTATCTTCACTTGATTTATCATCCACACTTCTCCTGTCTTTCCTGTGTTTATGACCACTAGAGCTTGATCTCCTACTACGACTACAATTTCTGCTTCTTCTAGACAGTCGTCTCTCAAACAGGTGTTCAGAATCGTCTTGGTCATCACAATAATCCCTATGCTTCTCACTGGCAAAAGGAGTTTCAGATCTTGGACATTCAAGTAATGATGGTTTTTGATCATAATATGAACTCTGGTCTTCTGGGGAGTAAGGTTCATTTTGGTAATTCTCAAAATTGTATGATTCATTTGAAGGATATTGACTGTATTGACTATGAGATTGTTCACTCCTTGAAGAATACAAGTTTGCTTGTTCATCATATTCTTGTATGTGCTCAAAGTCATCCAATTGGAGGACTTTGCTTAATTCTGCCAAGACCATTGGTTTTATATCTTCAAGCAAAACGGTATCTTGGGGATCCAATATGCATTGCATCTGTTTCATAAATGTGTCCTCATATATTGTGTTATTGTCATTATGGATGAATTCTGAGCTAGAGCTGCATAGTGATTTCTCAGCAACTGACCTGAGATGGCGGTTGTAACTATTCTGTGATTCAGTAATCAAACTACTGATTGCATATTCAAACTTTGTTGAAGAATTGGGATTGTCCATCAATTTATGAATTTTATCTTTATCCATTTTGAAAAGTTGATGAACAATTTTGGTTTTAATTTTGTCACAATTTGTCTTTACATTCCTTGTTCTGGTAATTTTCTTCTTAACAGGTTGTTCTGGTTGAGAATGGACATTGGAGTAGCTGCTTAAAGTGGTTTCTCTGACTGGGGTTTCTTCAGTTTGATCAACAGGTGGAATGTTATTATCTAAGGCATGCTGAGAGCCCCGTCTTTGAAGACGTTTCCGAACAATATCTACTGTGTCATCCACTGATCGACTAAAAGTATTGGAATTATCAATAGTTGACCCAAGATTTCCTCCATAATGGTCAGATGAAGGTGGTCTATGACCAGTGTAATCAAACAATGGTACTTTAGTTTGCTCCTTGTCGTAATTTGTAAAAGGTTTGTTTTGGTTTCCTGCAAAAAAAGCTGGAGGATTCACCCAGACCGTGGGATGCTGGTTAAACTCTCTATTTTGAGGTATGTTGGTTTGCCGGTGATCAATGTCTCCCAAGTTGTTTATGTGGCATTGTTTTGGTTGGTTGTTATAGTAACTAGTATTGTCATTGTATTGGTTACTAAGATCATTATGTTGGTTCTTGGTTGTATCTACTTGTCCTTGTCTTATTCGCTGTAACATTGGAAATATTTGCCGCTGTTGGCCATATGAGTGGTTTTGGGACCTCTGCTGGTTATTCGAGCGCCGATAGGAATTTCTGTCCTTTTCTGGAGTAATGTGATTAATTTGTGCTGGGTAAGGGCGGAAGGGTCGATGGCCAAGAAGTGATCTAGGACCTGTAAATCTGATAAAAAACTTAACGTTAAGAACAAGTTAATGAAACACTGCTTTGATTTTATTTACTAAATACTTTGATGTTTTGGATTTTTTTTTATAATATCAAGTGACATGATGAACAAATTGTGCACTTATTGGCAATTGACATGCCTGTCCATAACAGTTGCAGTGCCATTCAGAGCTTTAAATCGCAAAGATCTTAGGGGTACTGCTACTGTGCCCGTCATCCTGACACATAAATTGACAAGTTGCATGTGCCTGTAATTTCATCAGCACCCTTACCCACCAAACTAGAACGCTGTAAAGCTCACATTACTGCTTGGCGGCAGAAATAGGTAAGGTGGCAGTCAGTACTTCCATGGACGAACTTTTTCACAAGGAGCTCTATGGTTACTAAAGTTTAAGATTGTAACATGTTTTGGTACATGCTAAAACAACCAAACCTAAAAATTGTATTTTAGTTTGATTTTCTTTGGGCATCTTATATCAAACCCTGCTCACATAAATTAAGAAATGTAATATATAAAATTAATAAACATATCTAAAGTTAATATCTAAGGTTAAACAATATAAAAAAACCTTAGATGTTAACTTTAGATATGTTTACTTAACTATCCCAAACAACCCCGATGACAAAACCATGGATTCAAACATTTATTAAATTACTATAATCCATTTGTTTAGGTACTTAACTAAATGTAAACAATCTTGATAGATCTTTTTATTGAAACATATGCTTTACAAATCAATAGTATAAAAATAAGCATGCAATTTCATATGAAACTAAGTATTTGTATTTTATATTTGAAGCTAAAATCATTTTATAAATGTATATTTCATTAAATAGTCTACTCAAGATTGTTTACATTCAGTTAAGTACCTAAACAAATGGACTATAGCATTAAATTTTACGTTTAGAATCATTTCCTTGGGCTTAAGTGTCAATAACAGCTACAGCAATGTGACAATAATGTCTATCAACTTTAAGGGTCGTATTCTAGAACTCTATTCAATGCTCAATTCAGGATTGCATTGGCAACACAAGCACTGGAAATACGACCCTAATGGCAGGGACTTGAGTATGATTTCTAGTGCTTTGAATCATACTCAAGTCCTGACTTAAGCATTGAGTAGAGTTCTAGAATACGACCCTAAGTTTAAACTAGATTGGTGGCGTTTAAACACTAAGCATGGTTCATGTAAATGCATACGGCATCTAATAAAGTTATAATATTTGTGTTTGATCTACGTACAAGAAACAAAAACTGTAATATTTGTTATGTAGGTACGTACAATACCTAAAACATGTCACACTTCCCGCGTCTAGGCGCAATATTTTATTTATTGAAAAACTAGTGTATTTCATGTCTTACCGTGGTTGGTCTACGAGCCCAAATCCTCTGGGTGGTCGAAAATTCGGCGTACCTCCACTTCTAGGCCTAAAATGCCTTGGATTATCCCCTCGCCATCCACCGATACCTGGGTGACCTCGCCGCATTGTAAAAATATTAACACATGTTAAACCGCAAATACACTTGGGATATGTGTGGTTACCAATTTACCACTTAACTGACAAGTATTTAATGAACAAAAACAATGAATTATTGTTATAAAACAGGCGAATCCAATGTCCCGCTGAGTAAAAATACGACGAAGCCGTTGACATTTATCTGTGTCTGTGGTTAGTAGGGACTAGGGACGACGATTCTATACAAGTAAATACAAGTAGGTATTCGCTACTTTTGTTTCAATACCGAGTATTTTTAGTATATAATCCCTTCTTTCGATTTTACTGGGTATCAGAAGAATAATACTGGCATCGAATCGAAACGCGCACGCGTAAATATTTACCCTTAATCCCACTTCCCTGGAAAAGATCATATTTTTGCCAAATTATTTTTCATTCCATTTTCACCGTTTTACAGTAAACAAATACATACCGCGAAGTAGTACCAGAGTAAAAAAATGAAGGTTTGTCTATGGTCCCTTTGGATCATTTTTAAATGAATTTTGGACATACATATCAACGAATGAGCGAAGTTCACAAAGATAAACGGGATCCTGGGTAGTTTTGTCGGCTTGTGTATAATAGTTTTTATTTAAATTAATGTTCAGTTTAGGTATTATTACGGCAAATTCGCAGTAATAATCGATTAGCGGAATTATCGATTGTATCTATTTAGCTATAATACTTTAAAAAAAGAAAAGACCGTTTATTTATTTAATTGTGCAGTGCGTGCTTGTTAAAAGTTTACAACTTTTTTGTTATTATGGCGCCGCCAAAATTTAAAGTTTATAGTAAAATTACTATACAGGTGACTTTTAGTTACCATCCAAAGACTCCATTTTTGAAAAAAAAATTGGTAGGTCAAATTCCTTAATGAAAATATTTATTCCGAAATAATACTCGATAAAAATTGGTTACCAATTACCAAGCAAACAAACCTACGTAAATAGTAGTAGTAAACTTACTGATACCAAAAACGATACTTTTTGGTATCGAGTACTTTTCCCCAGATACCGATACTTTTGTACTCGATACTTTTCAGGTATTAGTACTTTTGACAAGTATCGTATCGTTTCGAATAATTCCTACTGATAACTCATGGCATAACTCAAGCCACGTAGCGATTTTTTTAAATGGCTGCATATAGTATGCCACCATTCGCCTCTATAAAAGAAGTTTGCCCCTTCTTCAGAACGTTAGTTCTTAAAACCATGCAATACAGTATCAAAAACGAGAAACAGACTGTCACCAAATAGATTTTTGTTTTTAAGTGATTGTACTGAGGAGTGGGAAATTGGAAATTTAAGTAACACAAATTATGTTAAGTGACGATTGATTGAGTTGATCAATTGATTGAATTATCAAATTCTTTTAGTATCTGTTTCAATTAAAAACCATAAATCAATAAAAAAGACAAATTCATGTGTTTTATTCTACCTTTAAGTATGAAAATCTTTCGATACTTTTATGAGTATGATACTTTTTATGCGATACTACTCTTGAGTACAGTATCGATACTTTTGATTCAATACTGTGTCCATAGATAGTGGTCAGTTTGTGAGTTGTGGTGTTGCAATAGAAAAAAATACGGATACGTTCTGAATAAAATTGATGGTTTTGTGCAGTCCTATAAGAGGATGATAAAATATACATAAATAGAAAAAACCATAGACCCTTAGAAATAGTATAATAAATCTATGATAAGACCTTAGAATAATAACGCATAGAAACCTAGTCCGCACACGCTATGAGGCAACTTGAAGCGCTCCTAATGGGCCTACACGAGCGGGCGGGCCGTCAGTGCTCACGGTCAACTTGCATCGCGACCAGCTCAAGAATTTTATCTAAAAATGGCGAAATGTGCAGTAAATGGGTGTAAAAATACGTCAGACAAACATAATAATAGATACTAACATCACATTCCACAAGGAAGTAACGCGTTTCAACTTGTATTTTTATATAAATTTTCACTAAAACCGAAAATTAATTTCGTTGCAACAAGACACGAAAATGTTGCAAAGTAACGGATTTCTTTCTCCCAATTTTGCTATTCTGTTTCAAAATAATTATATTACGTAATTTTTTGAGAATAGGCAATATGACCACAGATTTTTTTTACTCTAATGTAAGTGTGCATTTGACCTCCATTTCTGCAAGTTAAATGCGTACAAATGTTGTTTACAAAGAGCAACCCCTAGAGTTTCTTGCTCTTACTTCTCGGGGGAATCTGCCTAACGAATGAGCGGTAGAGTTTAACCAATGTGACGATTTCTAGTGTAATAATGCTTACTTATGAAATAAAGATTATTTTGATTTTGATTCTGGGTATCGTTTACGGGGTATATGGGGGCGCTCATTACGAGTATAGCACTTATTTCTAAATCCAAGATGGCGGACTCGATTAAAAAAAATGCAATATGGGTATCCTTTTCGAGGTATTTGGGGATGCTCATTATGAATATGGCACTCATTTCTAAATCCAAGATGGCGGGCGTGATTTTTCGAATAATGGCAAGTTGGGTATCGTTTTCGAGATATTTGGGGGTGCTCATTACGAATATAGCACTTATTTGTAAATCCAAGATGGTGAATATGGTGATGGTGATTTACAAATAGTGCCATATTCAGATTGAGCATCCCCAAATACCTCGAAAATGATATCCATATTGCATTTATTTGAAAACTCGTGTCCGCCATCTTGGATTTAGAAATAAATGCTATATTCGTAATGAGCACTCCCAAATACCTTGAAAACGATACCCAACATGCCATTATTCGAAAAATCGTGCCTGCCATCTTGGATTTAGAAATGAGTGCCATATTCGTAATGAGCACCTCGAATACCTCGAAAATGACTCCCATATTGCATTTATTTGAAAAGTCATGTCCGTCATCGTGTATTCAGATATAAATGCCATTTCCATAAGGATTACCAAAAATAAATTTTTGAAAATTCTTGTCACTTGACATTGTCGATCGACAGTAACGATCGACAAAACCGAGCATATCTGTACACACCTGATCGACATTGTCGATCGACAAAATCGAGCAAATCTGTAGGCACCTGATCGACAATGTCGGGCAAATCTGTAAGCATCTTTAACTTAATGATGAATTAAGGAAGATACAATTTCCCCACTTTTGAGGGAAATGTTATTCCATGGCATCATTATTTGTATATTTGTGTGCGTGCCGACGACCGTAGATACAAGTTGCTTACGCCTACATGAATTTGGTTTTTGCCTCACTTGTGACATTTCGTTTGATATGAAACTATCATTCTATGCCATTGACTTACAAATAAATGGACGACGGGTCTAATACAAAAACCACGAAAAAAATGTCCCAAGTCAACCTATTCGAAATTTAAATTGTAATGTCATCGCAGTATCGCGCTGTCAGTCGAACAAATGAAGACTAAAGCGGAGTTTGGCGCTCTGTATACGATTTTAGCGCCTTACAAGTGCGGACACTTTTTTCGCGGACCCGACGTCCATATAATTGTAAGTCAATGTTCTATGCGTTATTATTCTAAGGATAAGACATTGAAAAAACGTAAAGACCAAATTTTTTTTCACGAAAAAAGATAAATAATCTGTTTTAATAAATAAATGTTATACTGTTAAAATAAATGTTATACTGGAATATATAAATATAAATTCTCTTCATTTATTAATCTTCATTGACTAGGCATAAAATTTCTTCAGGTTTAAACAATAAAAAACGTGTATAATCGTATAGTATACGAGACTCGGCCTGCGGCGCTTGGTCAGCCTCAAATTACGGAGTGTGCTTATGCTTTTCGGTGGCACAACGATTAATACTATGGGTGCTTGATGAGGAGGTACCAGATTCGATTCCCGATTTGAGTCAATTTATGAAACAAACATTTTTATGTTGGTTCTGATCAGGGTATTCTGGGTATTGCCCTTAGAGTTATCGTTACTCTGGTGCTCATAGTACAGGAAATTCCCTAGTTTAAGACCAGAAATTTGGTGATTGTTTGGCATTTTTTTCCCTAAATACTTCTCTTTGGCATAGCTTCCAAGAAAAAAGAATCGAACAGAGAGACGGTCGAGATACAACAACGCCATAAGCACAAATTAGAAAGATCATTTCCACTACATCGCATCGGGAAGTATGCCTTACATTTTCAACAATTATGAGATCTTGTACTCGTAATAGTGTCTCCGTATACTACGTACCTACGTACGGTGGCGTGCCAACGCTTCGGGCTTCACCCTCCGCTAGACATCGGCCTACGGCCTCGGCATTTATAACTTTGTTTCAAAAAAATTAACATAGCTTTTTAATGGCAGCCATATTGAAACATGGCAAAAAGTAAATTTTGCCTGTAAATTATTATTAAACACTCATAGAGAACCCCACATGCAGATTTTCAGTGGAATTGAAAAGAAAGAAAACAAACATTTACACAAATGACTAAAGATTCCAAGTTAAATTAATTTGAAAATAAGAAAGTTATAAACACGTCCGCCAAATCAAAGGTTTCCTGCTCTTTTATTCATCGTTTTTTTAGAAAAACTTTATCTTCGGATGCGTTCTGAATTTACACCTCATCAATTTTATTCTTGCATGTACTTTTATTTTGTGTGATTAACTTCCTTTATTTTTTTTTTTCACCTAAGGATTAAGTGATTACTGAAATTATTTTAGTTGTTGGGCGAATTAAAATAATTTAATAAACGCAATTACTATTATTTATTAGTAATGTACGACAAATCGCGTAGTTGAACGTGTCATTATCTTTTTTTTCAACGAAACAAAAAGTTAGGTGCACCCTGTGTGCACCATACTCCATCGTCAAGTTCGAATTTCAAAAACCATTTCCACGCTAGTGTGCAAAGAAACGCCTTTGCGCGCAGATTTTTAATGAGAAAGAAAGCCTTTCCGAGCTAGTGAAGCGAAAATAGTAGAAAAATAAGAACTTTCCGCCAATGTACTACTTTTTTTTTCCACACTTGACTCAGGTCGGACTGCATAATGCTCAGTTATATTTTACAAGCTTTTATTTTTTATGCATTTCTATTTCTTATAATTTATTAGCATTACTATTGCCTACTTTTTAATTTTATAATATAACACGGATTAAAAAACAAAAGGAAAACTTTATTTTATAAATAGGAAATGAAACAATTTTTCCGGATTTAAATCGCGTATATTTGTTTTTTCAAACAAACCTTTATTTTTAACCGACTTAAAAAAAGGAGGAGGTTCTCAAATCGACTGTGTTCTTTTTTTTTTGTTTTTTTTTTGTATGTATGTTACGCGATAATTCCGGTATTTGTGAACCGATTTTCATGATTCTTTTTTTGTTGGAAAGGGGGTATTTCCATAGTGGTCCCACTTCATTTTGAAGAAAATCATCCACCTCAAAGGGTGGTTGTTCACTCATGAAGATTCATTTTTATATTTTATAAAGTTCTAGTGTGCGTGGCTATTGGCGCAGGCGTCATTGCCTCGGCCTTAAACGACGATTTTATTTTATGCACTAGAGCATAAAATCCTATTTTATGCAGCCTACACCCAGCATAAACACGAACTTTTATGTTTGTGCATGAGAAGCGAAAAGTGTATTATTTCTTGTAATAGCGGTTTACTGTAAGTTGGGTGTTTCGTTAATATATTCGCAGTTACAACATTCCTTTGAGTGCTGTGCAAAATTCAGAGAAGAAAGAAAACTAGCTGTACCTGCATTTTCCTTCTAAGCGAATATGTTTCTTCCTTATACTCTAAGGTTTCTTCTATGAAGGGCGCGTACATACTAGTGAAGATTGTCCTGCACTCATCGCCAATTGCTAGATTTGTACTGCTGTGTGAACATAACATCATTCTTTATTCTTAGAAAGGCAACTGTAAAGCTTACTTTCAAAGGATTCGCGCCCAAGCATTTGTCGATTTTACATTCCATTCGATCTTTGTTGTGCGATCCACAAAATATTCCGTAGCGGACCGGGGGATGTCGCTCTTCGAACCTATAGTGTCCGTAGGGGGTTTTATGTTGACTACCACTCGATTATCATGACCAGGTTTAGGGGGTCCAAGGGCTAATAAATTTGTCTAAAGATGTTTTAAGTCGATCAGTTCCGTAAGCATTTAGGCAATGTTTAAAGAATTAATTCTTAAAATGTCGACGTTTTCGTAAGGAATTTATTTTTGGCGTGGCACTAATCTGTGGGCTCCTCTAGAAAGAAAGAATTGGTTCAGTGCCAGCGTAGAATTATGAACCAAGAAGAATCTGTATGTATAGTATTGTAGATAATTAAACAAACACAACAGTGATATAAAGTTTTTATTAAGTAAGTACATACAACAATAATATAACAGACGTAACAAAATTATTCAGCATTCGAATTATAGTACACGAAGTGAAATGTCGCGATCCAGTGAAAATAAACAGGTCTAATTAAAATTCTTTATAGGTATTTTAAATGTTATAAAATAAATCGTCGGTTTATTGCAAGAAGTCATTAATTGCCATATAATTTATATGGCAGTTAGTGACTTCTTGTAATAAGCTGACGAATAGAGACGCTAATCTAGGTATATAACGTTTTCAATTAATTTTTTATGTAACAAAGAACTTTTTGTATAGTAAGCGGAATGTTTTGTCGCGATTTTCAAGGGCGTTGTAAAGAAATTGAACTCAATAACTTTTTTGTTTAGTTCACCTAGCTGAACTCATTTCGGCGCGTGATGTGGGCAGACATTTCATGGACAGTAACGGCGTTTACCGTAATATGAAAAATTCGAATATGGACTGTCCCGTTTCGATATATGGATCTTATAAAAACTACTACGGGCTTTACCGTGCGTATTCCAAGTGCTTTCTTTGTAGTTGCCACCTACTGCTTCTCCATAGAGAAGTATCAACAATGTACTGACAAAATTGAATGATTTATTTGAGATACATTTGTGGACGTTACTCACACATTTTAATATGTGCACACCAAGACATTACGGTGAATACCGACGTGTTTGTATGAGGTAACGTAAGACCGTACATATCAGTGCGTCGCCAGCGACTGCCTTTTGTGGTTATGTTATTTGTTTTCGCCCTGGAACTTTCTGACAGTAAAAAATCCCTCAATTTTTTTCTCAAAATGCATAGTTTTTAGTAATTCAATAAACCAATAATGTGTACTGCAGAAACCCTATTCTATAATAAATAATAATGAAACGTGTTTTCACACTTAAAATCAGGTTAGTTAGGTAGGTATTTTCTGCCATCTAGGTGAAATGAATAACTTAATTTTCGTTTAAATTTGCTGAATAACTAAACGATACATACAGTGTACTATTAATCAAAATCACCTCTCTTACTACTTTCCAAACTGTGATTTAATTATTCAAATGGTAAATAAATAATCTCCATCACTGCTTAAATATAATCTAATTAGTAATTGTTTCTTTTGGAATTGTTAGTACATAATAACTTTTATTTGTCTTTTTATACTGCAAGGGTCACGCTATTTTACGGTGTATGCTATTTTAATCTATAGATTTAGACTTTTTTGCTGAAATAAATTAAATAAAATCACTGTACTACTGTCATAGCCGTACTTACTTATGCACAAGAAACATTTACAAGAACAGTTTACAGTGCAGCTATGAATGTGACGGGATCAGCCGTCGAGTGATAAAGCGTAATAATGATGTTGAATCAATATGGTCACTACGACAAAGAAAAGTAGTGACTTTTAGTGTGCGGTATTATTTCAGTACTGTCCATGAAGGGGTTAAAGGAAATATAAAATAAAGTGAATTATGTCGCTGACGATGGTTTTGGAACATAGCGAAACAGAAGATAATAGACGGACGCTTCATTTATGTTTCATCCCCAAATGTCATCCAATCATTGTATCTCTATTGGTAGACAATCTAGTATTCACCACTTTCAATATATCACTACATCCATGATAAGTACCTGCGATTGTGTAATGATTGAATTAAACACCAGCCAAAATTGAAGTTGGGTCTTCGACTCCTGCCTTAACTTTTCGGAGAAACAGCACAGCTTCACGACCATCGATTAGTCGATGATCATAGGACAGAGCCAAATACATCATTGGCCGGATCTCCACCTATTAAAAAATGCATCAAAGACTGTTCATTACATAAAACATTTGATCATCACATCATTTGTGACAAGCGTGTATGACAAGTTGTGTGGAGTTGTATTTTGAGACTTTGGATATTATTCTGAGAGTACCGCAAGGCGCAGTTTTGGAAGTAATTGTTTTTATTGCAACTGACAACAAAGAAGCATAACTTTTATATCGAGAGTGTACAATACCTTGCCATTAATAGCTACAGGCCTCTGTTGAATCGAGTGCATGCCAAGTATGGCAGACTGTGGTAAGTTGATAATTGGCATAGAAAGCAGTGATCCGAATACTCCTCCGTTGCTTATCGTGAATGTTCCACCTTGCATGTCCGCTGGCGTCAATTTGCCTGGACACGACAGATTTAGTTGTAACACAGTAAAACTAGAACTTCAAAAGTGTTTTTAAAGGCAAGCTAATTTGTACTAATTAATCAATCTATATAAATAAGTCCCACTGCATTCGAACCTGGGCCCTGATTTTAATTGAAATCGGAATCGGGTAGCCCATCCGCAATATTACAGGCCTCGACTCGGAAAAGACGCAGTTTCCGATCGGGAGAGGCAATCAAAATCAAGCTGCGGATCTTTTCTCGGGAAAAGATAAGTATTAGAACTCAAGTAATACACTACTTTGGCAATAAAAAGATAGCTCTGTATAAATATGTCTGTTTTTCTTTGGTTTCCTCCTTTACTAACTGTTGTTTTATCGGTTTAGAAAGAAAAGACAATCTGTCATTGAAATATAGGTAGGAAGATTTATTTTAGTTTCTTGCTACGTAAGTTTAGCTGTGCTAAGTAGGTACTTGTTATTACCAAAATGCGACTAGTAACTGACCGGTCCTAGCTTTTTCTGCGAGGATACCGAGAGCCAATTCGATGCGAGGGTAGTCCATTGCGTCCACATTCCTGATGATTGGTACAACCAACCCTTTTGGTGTCGCTACTGCCACAGATATGTCTACGTAGTCCCTTGAGAAGAGAAAATCCAACTTATTCAAGCTGACTTGAATTAAAAAAGATTAATATTTAAGATTTGAGAATAGGGAATCAACTAAATTGAAAGTCGCATAGTAATGTGGAAAAAGGCAACATGATAAACAATTTAAGAGTAGATTATACAAATAGATAGTGTGATCATTATTTTTACCCTCAGCGGGACGTCTATAAATTATTGTTTTATAAATAATATAATAAAATACATGTTTATGACCACAGACATATATAGATATATGTATGTGTTTATGACAGTTACGAAATGTTTAATGGTTAAACATTTTTTACAAAAAAATAAACATTTTTAATGATCTAAAATAAAAACAAGAACTAATCTTGTGTGGTCTGATGGGCAAGCTTTATATATTTTTTTGGGATGAGCAAATTTGCTTTAATACGTAAGGTTTACATTTTAAATCCATTCCACAGGAGCTGTCGCCAACCGCACATCACCGCCAAAAACAACGCACGCGCAGTATGGACCCACAACTACAAGTACCGGGCCACAAGGCTTCGCGCCATTATATTTATTTTCATGTGTGTCTTGTTTTGTTAAAGCCCTCCCTATGAGTGTGTACGTTATTATTATTATTATTTTATCTTCGTACGTAGTTACTGTTTCATTGTGTGCGATCATATACAGTAGTTATACTGTATGTTTGCCTATATGGAGTATTAGGTGTATACATTACATACCTATAAATAATATTATCTCCGGAAATAAATCCGTTGATGACTGGCTGATCCATGAGCGCATTTGCCGACGCTTTCAGAAAGGGAGACATAAAAGATAATTTTACGCCGTATTTTTTCAAGAAAGCGTCCAGGTTCGCCTTGCGGAACGCCATTAATTTACTGAAATTAAGATAATAGGTAATAGCTACTTGTCATGCAAGGCTGCAAAGTTCTTATTTGATGCCAGTGCTTGTATTGAAACCTGATCAAGCGAAGGGTGCAAGATTGAATTGATTCAGAAATAAATCCTGAGCGTAGCGAAGGTTTCAAGGCACTAGACGCAAAACAACTTTGCTGCCAAGCAAAACACAACTTTTCACCTCACTATAGTGAGGAAAATGGTAGACGAAAAAAAATTGTTGAACCTTTACCTATTACAAAATAGTTTTAATAAACAAAATTAGTTATCGTTGTCAATTTAATGTCAACAATAATAATAATTAAATATACTAACTGATTTATATTATATAATAAATAATGTGCGACAGATACTATGCTATCTAAGTAATATACGTAAGAAATACTACAGACCTCATGTCACACTCATTGAAGGTGGTCAACATGGCGGTGGTGTTCTGCGCTTCTTTGAGTCGTTGCGCGATTCTCTTGCGCATTTTGTTCATGGGGACTGGCAGCTCTGTCCGTGTCCCTGCGATCACCTTGGTCGGATCGCCTATACGTAAAGCCGCTTCCTGTCAATTAAAAGACGGAACAGCAACAAGTCAGCAGTGAATATACAAATTTTATTGCATATATCGTTTCGTATAAAAGAACGTCATCACCTATATTAAATTTAGCAGCAGAAAAAACTTACAGTTGGACCTTTTGGTTTCCCTTTTTTCGTGACGACGACTTCCGCCCCTCCAGGAGCTGCTGACACCAGCGGAGGTGCAGGCGCTGCTTTAACAGCAGCGGGCGCCGGTGCCGCAGCGGCAACTGGAGCTGCTGGCGCTGCTGCTGGCGCTGGCGCTGCCGCTGGCGCTGCCGCAGGTGCTGCCGCTGCGGCGGTTGCTACGCCAGTTACGTCCACCTTTTAACATACCAGAAAACAGTAGTAGTGGTAGTGTAGATTAGACTTATTTAAGTAAATTACCTATGCACTGAATTGTTAACAAAACTTATTTCGTATGTACGGAAACGGTAAACTTAGTTTACCGTTTCTAGTTTATATTATGTTCCTATAAAGGTTAGTTTACGTTGGTTACTCACACTTAACTCTGAATATATCAGAGTAAAAACATATTTACATCGACAGATATTGCAAAACTCCTACCGGAAATTAAGAAAAAATTACAGGCGTTAGTACCTATATGACATGAGTTCCTAACGTTCACGTAGCGGCCCTTCAAGCTTTAAGGTAAGGTGACATTTGGTCGAAGAGCGATTGACCCGTCGACTAAGAATTGCGCAAGTTATATGAGCAATGAATCGACCAAGCAACCATTTGATTGTGTAAACTTGTTGTAGAGCGAATGACGTTGGACGACATCGGCTATACGAACAGCGGTGGTCATAGGTTGTCTAGCGCAGGTCGATCGCCGAATTAGTAAACGACCAGGTGTAGGTAATAGGTATATAGCCGACCTGAAAAACAGGCTGCAGTGACTTCACTTTATCTCCATCCTTGACGAGGAATTTGACCACCTTTCCGTGGCCGGGCGACATTACCGGCAGTGCTGTCTTATCCGTTTCGATCTCCATCACTACTTCATCCATTGCCACAGGATCTCCTTCTTTCTTTAGTAATCTAATGATTTACGATATCCTCGTTACACCGAAAAAGAAAATAACTTTAAATGATACCTGTGCTGTGATAGGTAGCATTTGAAGGTGGGCCAGTGGCGGATTTGCACTAAGGCTTAGTAGGCCAGGGCCTAGGGGCGGTCAGATTTTAGGGGCGGCCAAACGTGACAAAAAATTCAAAATTCACTGGTGATAACAAGAAATAACTCCGCACTGCACCGCATTGTGTAACAATAATCTACCTAAATCACTTTCGTACATTTTATGTATATGTATATGTATATATAATTCTGAAGAATATAATTCTGAATAGATTTCGATAAAATTTGGCAATAAAATAAATTCATTATGTAGTCTACCAATACATGATGAGTGCTGAGCAAGTGACGGCTGTTACTGACTACATGGCCTGGGGCCTAGGGCGTCCAAGATTGCAAATCCACCACTGGGTAGGGCAGTTATATTTAATGTCTTGCTTTGGATAATTTGTTACACATAAAAAAAGAGGAATCATCATTTTACAAAATACTAATATATATTATTTAAAGTCAACTAAAATTACGATTCGATGTGTTTAAAAAGAACCAGCCGTAATTTAAGATGAATAAGGCAACTTATCGTAAAAAAAGGAAAGTCGTAACGTACTTTGCATCGCCTTCAGTGACGGAGTCAGGAAAGTTAGGAGCTTTAACTTCTTCGATAGCCAACAGAGCAACGCTTGTGGAAATATGAGTTCTGTGCATCGCCATCCAACTTTTCATTGAAGTTGGTATTGCCACGGCCCCAGTATATCTGCCGTAATATGGATTTAATTATATTCACATCTGCGACATTTTGGCAACAATAAGATGACCAATGGAAAAGATTTTAACGGTTCTTTCTAATAAATGTAAAGTTTAAAGACTCGAGAATTTTGAAACGTTCATATTTTTAGATTTGTAAAACTTGGCCAGAAACTGTCTTGAGTTGTTATCGTAATATGTAACGAAATAATGTGAATATAAAGAAATTCCTTACGTGTGCATTTTTGTATGGCAAATTGTCGATCGATGTCGCCTTGAAATGAAATTTTTGATATGATTCCAGTAATTATCTTCGACTCTTACTATCTGGAAGCACAAATACAAGTAGCTACCTATTTAACGTCTAGTTACATAAGGAAAATATGACAAGAGAGGATGTGGTATGGAAGAAATTGTATATGTGGTGTAAATGAACGTACAGTGGACAGCAGTAGATAGTTGAGTATAAGGGAATAAATAATTTATAATGGCAACGTTAATTAGGCATGAATCGACTTTGTCTTGCAACGCGACGTCGCCTTACTTTCTCAAACTCGTATCTTAAAGCACAAAGTTACTGTGTTGTCGTTAATGCAAAAAATGGATTGTATATACAAATTTTGCAGGTTGATTTCACATTATATTTCCTTCATATTCACACACTGGCTTTTACCTATACTTAAAGTAATGCATCCAAATTAACACCCTTGATAAGAAATTTCAAATAAATAGAAAATTTTGCCATATCCTGAATAATCACTCATCGATATGTCACCCACATTGCGGACATCCTTCAAAAAGACGAGATCGGACTGTAGCCCCCTCCTATGTCCATGGAAGCATGTGGCGCAAGCTCTGTCGTCAGAGCGGCCGAGAACCGCAAAAGGCTCAACTACGCCAACCTTGCTCAGTGCTGCAGCTTTGTGCCTTTTGCAATTGAAACCTTGGGTTCCTGGGAGCCACAGACGAAACTTCTAGCGAAGGAGCTGTCAGATCGCCTCGTAGAAGTCTCGGCTGACCTAACTCTTTGGCGGAACTAACTAAACTTATTCTTTGCTAAGCTAAACTTATTCTTTGGCGAAAATAAAAAAAAAATTCCGCCAAAGAATAAGTTTAGTTATTCAAAGGGAAAATATTGCCACCCTTCTGGGCACGATGTCCTAGGGTGCGTCTCGCGAATAAATTTTCTACTTATAAACTTTCTAGCACTAAAATTTTAATAATTATTATATTTTTCTTTCAAGATCGAAAGTATCAAAAATAAAGAAACCCTTATAAAAATATTAATGCAATTATTATTGTAGAAACTGAAATAGGTCCTTTAGGAAAGTGCCAGGTAAAGTCCGTGAATCTTTTTAGCTCATATACTTTACAAGTTGAGAGGCAGCGAGATTTGTAGTGGCTAATCTTACCGTTTTAGTGACAAACACGTATAACAGTGGTTAAAAGTTGACTGGATTTGTTTGCTTATGTGTCTTTGAAATGTAAACAGAGAAACACGAACAGGTCCGGTCAAAACACAAGGAATTACTTCAAAGACTTACAATTGGTACTATGGTCCTCCTAAACATTATACCACTATATTAATATTATAATTTAGATCATTAAGTCCAATAATATATAAGAAAACTTATATTAAAAATATTGCGAACTTTGTTGTTAATTTTTCTTCTTTTTCTATGAAGTGAATGACAGATGTCAATTTTCTTTGAATATTATTCATTGAAAGAGTTTTACCATAGCAGGATGTTATCACAGAAAGGTTTATTTCATAGCATGTGGAAATGTATAATATTTGAGAGCAGTGGGTATGGATAATTAGACCGCGACATGTAGGTACACCTCTAATCGTGGTGTAAACAATGACCAGTTATTGGCACAGTTATACTGAGTCGTTGCAGAAGAGCGTATACATCCGAATGATCGTTGTTGCTATTAGAACCTAGTTTCTTTACAATGCAGAACATAAAACGTAAAAAATCTTTGGTATTTGACCAAATTTGAAAAATCAAGTTAGAGCTACTGCCCTCTAGATGGCAGTGTATGTACTGTATTGTCGCTACTGTACAACAGAGGGCAGACTATTTAGTTTCGCTATTTGACGCTAGGAAACAGGTGAGAGATCAGTTTGAAGTAATAATAGTTACAAAAGCACACATATTAATTAATTAATATGTCCATGGACAAGTAACATGTAGTGATAAAGTTTTGACAATTGTAATAAAATTACTCCACCGTCAGACGACCCGAGGAAAGTGGCAGACAGGGGTAGGATGCGGGCGACACAAGACTGGGAAAATTGGCGTACTGGGGAGGCTTATGTCCTGCAAAGGATACATGTAATGTTATATGAATAAAGTACTATGAGACTATTTAAGGATTACTTATTCTAGAAAACATCTCTCCGAATATCTTTCTAAAAATTTTGTAATGGTGAGCACAAATAGGCAAGTATTATATTTACGACTATGTTGACCCATACGATTTAAATAACAGTAGTATTAAGGACACGCATTTAAAATTAAAAAAGAGTCTGTTATCATCATTTAAACATCAATTTAGCGATGAAAACACTACAAACAATACAAAATAAAATTATAAAACAACTTTTCCATTACCATTATCTGACCACAATTATATAACAAAATTAATGACTATTTCCCAAATGTACAAATATGAGACTTGCATATTGATTAGTTAAAATTTAAATAAAAATGTTTTTATTTAAAACAAATTTTACTAAAAAACTACATATTCAAAAGCGTCACGATATATATTTGCAAATACCGCGGACGAATTATGGAAAGAAAAACACAATGTTAGAAGGAGCTCAAATATGCAACAAATTACCAAAAGTAATTAAGGAAATACTAAATAATTTCAATTATTCAAAAAGAATTTAAAATTACACAACTTGAGGAATTTCTCGCAGTTTTGTTGTTTTTATTTCTATGAGTTGGTATTGTTTTTAAAGTTTCACTATGGCAATTGATGTACAATATCTTGATTAGGGCATTGCTTTTGTTGTTTCTTAGAACACGAAATTTTATCTATATACTTTCATTTGAATTGTCAGTACGTACTCTCTGTAGAAATTTTATGATACCTTGTATATCTCGCTAAGTGAATTTGTATTCTTTTGAGAAATAAATATCTTAAACCACAAAATGTTATTAAATTAATTCATTACTTATTGCACGCGTAGGGAGAGAGGGATGTCGTTAGAGGACAGGAGGGTCTATAGATATGATTATTTAGCAAATGGCCGTTTCGGGGAACCTCTTTGAGAGACATTAGTGGTGACCACTCAAGACGAAACCACCGCCTTAAGATAGTAGGGTTGATCATCTTGGAAAAATTAAATGAAAATATTTAACACAGAAGAACCTCAATACTTTATATTTCAAATTTTCAACTTATGATATTTAATTACTTTGGGACAGTAGATTGTTACATGGAGAAAAAAAATTAAAAAAAATTCAATAGAATCTTTTAAAGAGAGCTTCCAGACCATTGACTTACTAAGTCAATGTTCCAGACCAATGATATTACACAAGTATCAGACCTACTAAAATACTATAGAGATCTTATATGTTTTTCTGCATTAATTCATATGGTTGCTGGTTGTATGAAAATAAGTATATTTTTCGAATTGCAATTAAAATTATGTTGGTTTGTCTACGACTTCCGCTGTAAAAACCGTTTTGTAAGTGTGAAAGTGATTTTCACAGTGAAATGATAGTAGTAATAACTTTATTAATTAAAGATAATAAAGTCTATGTTATTAAAATCCGTTCTGTGTATCTACTTCGTCCATGTTGTAGATTTCAACAGCAAGGGTGCTACATAAAACGAATCTTTATAACAGATAATACTTAAGTACGTGACTATGAATATCAGTTTCCTAAATTTATATTATGCTTTACCTAATTAAATCTTTATAAGTAAGTTGGTGGTCTGGTATTATTAGTGTTTTTTTTAGGTTTTTAAATTTATTTTTACATAACTTCGCATTCCGAGTGTGTTCGACAAGGATGTGTACATTTTAAGCTATAAAACGATATAGATTAAACTGAATGCCAGGTTTCCGCCCACGTATCAATCACTTGTATCACTTGTTTCATTTGCAGCGTTTTTAATTCAACCTTCATTAGAATTTTCCTTTTTCTATACGTAATTAAATTTTTAGTTACGAAATAGTTAAACCAAATAAAATGAATTGCGACATTTTTATTTATACTTACTTAATTACGTAAAATTGACTGATAGAATAGTAGGCTGAAAAAGCTTTTTCTCAAATAGAAATATTTAGATGCCAAAACATCTTTGCCGAATTTAACAAATTTTATATCGGTCGCAGCCCTAAATACGCAGGGGTTGCACCCTTACTAATTTGCTAAGATTCCAGGAGCCCGCATCTTTGATTACGATTCTACCGTGCTATCGAATGCTCACTTATCTTCGTTATCGATATATTTACTTTTTGCCAGACGAATAAAATGTTGTATTGTTATGTGGAAGAAGATACCTAATAATGTATCTACTTCGATATTATACACTTATTCGACTTTCTATCTTAATTTTTACCATTGGTCGTGCAATTTTCATGCCACAAACTTTCATGCATTATGAAGACGCTGCAAAAATTCTTAGATTTAATAATATTATTAAATGTTCCGCATTCAAAAGTGCCAAGTTGTAACAACGAAGTTGTATTTACAGGGGGAATTTCCCGAGTATCCTTACACTTAAGGTTTTGAAAAAAAAAAAACAAATTTAAGTCATGTTTTATTACGACGCGTAACATTTTCAGATACACAATCATATTAGACATTCAAATAAATCAACATAGATAATTATCGAACAATTTTAACCATTAAAAAAAAGAAACTAATCATTGGTCTAGTTTTTGGTATCATTGAAAATTGGCACTTAGTACCGGACAAGTATTAATTCAAGCCCTTAATACCGGACAGTAACGTTAACATCGAGATTTTCTGAAAAAACTTTGTCAATAATCTTTCGTTAATACAGCAAACATACTAAAACACAATATACTCATTATTTAAAATAATATATATAATCTAATATATGTATATACTTTTAAGAAACACGGCCATTATACACTTTCAATAAATCAACGCAAACAAGAACTGAATTTAGTGGTAGCAATGAAAGATGACTTACAAAAAAATACAACGATTACAAACATAGAGATCTGAGCACTGTGGGATATCCGCGCAGGTTTCATGCGCCCATTCTTTACATGACCCACACTGAATCCAGTCTTCTTCGTAGTCTTCGCAACAAACAACATAGTAGTACTTCTCTAACTGCTTTTCAACCGGTTTTATTTTTGTTTTCTTTATTTTTCATATGTCTTTCGTCTTTTAAATTTGCGATTACCTTCTTCTTTTCTTTTTTTTAATTTTATTTGTCTTCTAAACGTTTGTATGGCGAATCAGTCGAAATTTCACATTTTTCTGATCGACGTTTCCTTGTTTGTTCTCTATAGCAGCATCTGGTAGTGGAGCAAATTATATAGCATTTTGTCAAAATCAAATTGTCTCCCTACTAGGGAACTTGTATGGGTAAAGATGTACTTGTTCGATACTAGGGTATCAGACGTTGCCCGAACGTAGGGACACACCATACCTAAGTAAAATTTCGATTACAATAATGTTTATTAATATATTTGCCGCAAATTACAGTATTTCAATGTAAAATGTACTTACCAATGATTAAAGAAAAAGCAATACACGCAATGTATTCCCTCGAAATAGTAATTATTTCATACAGTTGCTCAAAACGTGGTATTTTTCGTACAACAAATCGTGCCGAAAGTTGGATTTTTTGCACTAGTGCTTTTTACTTATCCATTTTTTTTAAACTCCTGTTGTTTCGAGTCTTAAGCATAGAACTAAAGAGGTTGTATATTTATTTAATATTTATGTGCTTTGTGACGTAAGTCATTCGGCATTAAAACTTATATTTACTTACAAACATCTTATTTGTTTAAATTGCAAAGGTGTTTTATAAAACAACGGGTTACATTTAAAAATACCTCGCTTCTGGGTCGGATCAAGAAGCCTTGGGGCTCGTGAATAATGACCAACTTTCCGCACTTGTATAAAAAATAACTATTATGATATTGCCAAAGTTAGTCGATGCAATTGTGTGTAACATGTCATCTGTAAATCGTATCGAGCGAGACTTAAGACCTCCCACGCCGCGCGCCGCGGGAGGTTTCTTTCCGTTAAGTTTATATACGTCTTTCCATAAACGAGAGCGAATGAGAGCATTATTTCATGTTTGGACGTGATCTATCCGGTACTATGTGCTGTCCGGGGACAGAGGGAATACCCCTAAGTTATTAAAATTTGGTGGACTAAATTCAAAGCAAGAATTCCAATTTTTCAAATGGAAAGAGAAGTATTTATAGCAGGTGTAATTTAGACCCATAAATGAATTTCTGTCGACGTACCAGATAATTGAAAGATTTTTATAAAATATTTCTAGCATAAAGCTACCTGTATATTAACACTTAATGTATAGCAATTGTATATTATATATGAATAATAATAAAATATTGTACAAAGCTTATATAAATAGTGTACAAAGGTTGAGTCTGTCCTATATCCGGTTCATGTTTTTTTTCATTTCAATCATACCAGGGTTAATGTTTAGGTACTGAATATTTTTAAATGTAGGTCGTACATCACATCTACCATATGATTGCAATAAACGCCTTTTAGATATATATGGATAATCTCACATGGCTGTTGGTTTGTTTCAACCCTTAAACATTTGTTTATGTATTTTATTTTATATTTTTAGGGAACTAACAGCAAGGTATATAAATAGTTACAATACTAAATATGGATGACCAATTACAGGTTTCCACAGATAAATGGGCAGTAAAACTTTTCATTAGAATTGTATAAACACTCAGGGGACCTAAAAAGACCGCATTTGCAGAATCATAATATTATGATTAATTGACAATTCACATTACGAAATAAAAATCATAATATGAATTGTCAATTAATCATATTATGATTCTGCCAATACGGCCTTTTCAGCCCTGCAGACGAAACTTACTTAGATAACCTATCAGGGGAAAAAAAACCTGCTTACAGAGTGTTGCTTAAGTTGGTTTGGTGGAGTCTTGAAAAAGTCAATATCGTGGTTGCTCTGTTCTTCTGTTATAGCACCCAGTCGCTAGAATGAAGAAGGAATTTCGTTTATAGTTTCTTTCTTTCTTCTTTCGCCAAAAGCGAAGCCACTGGAACACGTAAACCAATGTTACTGAGAAGCACAGTACTATCGACCGAGCCACTTGCTACTTTAAATAAATATAGGACATCAGCCATCCTTTACATTACATCATATGGTTCATATCTGACCCCTTGCAGAATCTGTTGTTACTATAAAAGCTTTCTAATTGTACAATAATTTATCACAATTCCATTGTCTCCATAAATATCCAAACAATCCAAGTACTGTTCAAGGTAACTCAAATACCCCAAGTTATACAGAAACAGTTTGTCAACAATTCTGCTTAGCGCATTGTCCGTAAGACAAGCTATAAATCTATTTGAAACTATTGGGTAGACGTTCAATAAATCGACAAGTTGCCAAAGGCCGGACTTATGGCCGAAGAAAGGATCCAACTCGCTTACTGACCATCGAGTTTCGATAGTGATAGGCAATGCCAGCGAAATAGATTGTCGAAAGTTGACTTTCATTTTCAACACGTCTTCAGCAAGCGTTGGCGTATAAGCATTTTTTCCTAGGGCGGAGCTAGAGTGGATGAAAAATATTGAAAATAAAACTATATTTTTAGTATGTTTTCAAACAAATTCTCTTTTCGGGTCGTTCACAATACTCATGGTCACGACTCGCAGCTGACTGTTAATAGGGCCTGTACAAAGCACGAAACGTTGGTTACTTTGACACATCTTTGAAAAAAAAAACGTGATTAAATCCGAAAATAAAATAGTTACATTTCCAATGTATAACAATGCGAAAACCTACGTACGTGGTAACTCTTTACTCTTTAATTGTTCTGGGGTTTACGTCAAACTATCTGGGATGGGTCGTGCTCATACCGCCGGCTATAAGTGCAAATATATTAATTATAATATAATTTCTTCTATTACTGTTATGACAACCATGTTTTTGTTAAATATGTCTTGATGCTTTTAGAGAAAATTTAACTTTTTATATACTACTAAATATGTTGATGTTTGAGTGACACATAAGTTTTTTTAAATTTTTTAACTGAATAAATGTTTACTGCTAAAGGGTGCTGGTAAAACTACGGGCATATGAAACTTGTTAACTTTATATCTCAGGATGCAACGTAACAGGTGCAGTGGCGGTGGCTCTTAGGTTTTTTGCGTTTTAAAGCTTTGAGTGGTATTGCAACTGTTATGGGTAGGCGTGTCGCTTACCAGCAGGCGCATTATTCGTGGACATATAGGTATAGACAACGATTTTTCACATTTTTTTATACTTAATTTTTTTGATGATTATTTTTTCGTTGGACAGGTGCCTCAATATTGGTCCCATTGTCAATCTAGGTCAGGTGTCAAACTAGGGGATGAAAGGTTTCGCGCACTTTCCGGTCACCGATTTCAATAAAACTTGGCAAATAGATGTAATTCCACGAACTTTTGAGGTCGGTTTTTTTTATGAAAAAGTTGTAATTATTTTCTATCTATACCTACGATTATTGATATCAGTCTCATCTCTACACGGGCGATGCTGTGTTTGCGGCCGCAAGTCTGGCCGTTTAAGCTGAAACAGTAGCTTACTTATTACCTGAGATGGCACAACTTGCTCTACACTGTGAACTAGAAGACCGTACATGAATATATCAATGTTAATCAAATTATTGTTATTGGTATTCTCACAACAACTTGAACACTTATATGGGAAAGTTGGCTGATAATTATATTTTAAATACAAAATTAATTTTTGCACGTTGCAATTTCTCTGAAGTTATATCTTAAATTTAAATTTTAAAATGTTGAGTAAGTTACTATAAACTAATTTATGGATAATTTTCAGGTTAGTTTTTTCTACCTAATTTCGGTGGCAATTTTTAATATTTAAGTATTGAACTTTCACGATTTTCACACATTATTTGATTTTTAATCATGTATAAATCATATTTTAATTACTTCGACCCCCTGATAACTGATGTACTATATATATACACTCTTTTGTTATAACGTTTAGTAACGTTTCGTTTTTTTTTTATTTTGTAGCATCTATTATCAGCAGTATCTGTAATTTCGATAATTTTTGCAGCACGTTGCCTCGAATGTCCGAATATAGTGAGCAAATAATTACATACATCGCCGGATATGTAGTACAAGTAATACAAAAAAATATATAATGCAAAGAATTAACAGTGCGCTCTCTTTACAAAAACCTGGAGTTGGTCATACGTATGAGTTCGTTGCTTTCGAGGACGAAGGTGGTTTAGTTTGTCCCACCTAAGATGCTATCCAAATATGCAGAGTAGCAGAGTTAGAAATCCGAGAAATAATAAACAAGTCACAAAAATTTCACACGAGGCCGTCATTAAGTAAACCTCTATTGATTTTACGATACTTTGTCAGCAGTAACATTTTAATTTGTCTTGCCATTCATCAATTTGATCAATTACCAACATAAAACCATCTTGCAAAATTAATTAAGGCAGTCGCAAGTTCATATATTGACGTGCGTTTTCATTATTTAAGTTAATCGATAAGATCTTCTATTACAAAAAGATGTCATATAATAAGCTTATTTTATTGGAAGGACTATAATTTTAATATTTGAAGTCGATTAAAAATTAATATATTAATTTTTTTCAAGTAACCAACATTTTTTTTAAACAAGTAAAATAAAGGACTTAACTATTTTTTCTAGTATTTTTCTACTATATTCATATTACGACTACTTGTAATGAACAAATACTTGAACAAAAATTATTATATTTAGAATCGATTAATTGAATTGAATATGCGTGTTTACGCGTATTCAGTTCCCAATTATTTCGCAATTACTAGCGCCACCCTAGGACTCCTCGGAGCGCCCACTGGGGGGTAGGGACCAGTTTGGGAAGCTATGTTCTAAGTTCTAAAATCTGGTTTTATTTGAAATATTTCTCAGTAGCGTCTCTATAGTTTTCAGTCGTGCCTGTACTTGGTAAGCCAGGGCGGGCCGTATCCCGAACAACGCGAGAAGTATTAATAACTTAAGACTTTGCAACTCACTTCGCCTTAACCAATGCTTACTTTATTGGCTAGTAAGTAAGTGTGGGAACATTATGATGCTTTAAATACGGCTTTCTATAAGTATACTTGTGATAAGTAAAATATATTATAAATAAAGCTCATTCATTCATTGATTCATTTAAAGCTAAGGAGCTTTACAAGGGTAAAAGAGTTCGCCCAGGCTGCCACTTTATCTATTTCTGCCACCAAGCAGTAATGTGAGCATTATTGTGTTCTAGTTTTTAAGGGTACCTAAGTGTGCTGGTAATGTATGTCTCAATTCAAATTCATGTATTAGCTTTGAATGGGGTAGGGTACATTATAAATGTTGATGGTAAAATTTAATTAAAACTTAATCCTATTCAGCCTTAAACAAAAGCATGCAAAACAATGAAACAATACATTACCAAATTAAATGAATTGGTACAGGATATGCCACAATAGTGGATGTCATAATTTGATTAGATTAGATAAATAAATAATTGTAATGGAATGTATGCATCAATCAATTACTCTCTATATTTCATAAAATCGTCAACTTAGTATAGCAAATGATCTAAAAGCCTGAATGATGAATGGAAGAGGCTTAAAGCGATGTATAAGATGAAATTTTTTTCCACGCAAGAATATATCAATGTTAATAAACTTATTGTTATTGGTATTCTCACAACAACTTAAACACTTATAAGGGAAAGTAAGCTGATAATTATATTTTACATACACAATTATACTCAATTAATTTTTTGTGCGTTGCAATTTCTCTGAAGTTATATCTTAAATTTAAATTATTAAAATTTTCAATAAGTTACAATAAACTAATTTATGGATAATTTTCAGGTTAGTTTTCTCTAGCTAATTTCGGTGCCAATTTTTATTATTCAAGTATTGAACTTTCACGATTTTCACACATTATTTGATTTTTAAATCGGGACTTTATCATGTAGGTATAAAACATATTTTAATTACTTCGACCCCCTGATAACCGATATACTGATAACGGGATCCAGTTGTCAGCAAATGTAAACGACATCAAGTATCGCCCGACAAGTCGCCAGATGTTGTGTGCACAAATAAATAATGAAGAACAAGTGCGAGTAGCTAGAAAAATTTGTATGGCTAGAAGACACCCGACTCTTTAGTCCCTTCGAGATTATGGACGTTGCATTACATCCGAAACGTCGAGGTAATTAAAATATGTTTTATACATGGTTAAGTCCCGAATTAAAAATCAAATGACGTTCGAGTATATGATCCTGAAATATTAATAATATTTCAGGTTACTACACTGGGATATTAATAATGCTTCATGATAATATTCTACAATACTAAATAGTAGAAATTGCCACCGAAGTTAGGTAGAGAAAACTAACCTGAAAATTAAACTTTTATTATAAAAGCCACCTAAGCAATTCTTTTTTTAAATTGATTAATGGAAGAGGCTTAATGCTATGTATAAGATTAAAATTTTTTCCACACATAGCGTAAGAATTACTTTGGAAGCATTTTGTCTTTGGTATTGTGTCTAGTTTTACTTCATTTGGGTTTCTTTGACTTCTAGCAGTTATGTCCTTTGCTATTATAAACTTTGATTGATTTTATTTTAAGCTCGGGTATATACAGGCATGTGAGAGGCAAAAAGTAATGCCGACATATGACATACGGCGATACATTGCAGACGTATACACCTCTTCTGAGCAATAAAAACTTTCCCAAAGTCTGTGCCATTGCCCCAAATTATGAGATCGTATCTGAGTACAGATTTATGTACGCAAAGTAAGCTGTCATAGCCATGTATTTATTTGCTACCTTTGACAATTTGTAAAGAGCAAACGCAATTTTAGAACACGCTTTGACCATTTGCTCACTCCAATTCAATTTTTGATCTATAATTAATCGTAGGAAAGTCACATTGGTAGCGTTCTGCAGAACTTGATCGTTATAATTCATATCAACTGTTTTTGTCCTAAAATTACCAAAATTCATAATCTTAGTCTTAGTTAAATTAATTAGAAGATTATTGTTTTGTAGGCATTTAATTAGAGATGTCAATGTTTTAATTAATTGTTGTGTTCTTTCAGTGTTGATTTCATTGGTGAAGTGACAATCATTGATATATCATCTGCGAAGAGGATTGTTTCTTGTACCGTGCTATCAAATATATCGTTAATATATAGTAGAAATAGCAGGGGACCAAGCACGTTACCTTGGGGAATGCCGTAATTATTACATTTAAAGTTTGATTTATACGTCTCGTTACAATGGGTTGTGATAAGTTGGGTTATTTTTACACATTGTCACCTATGTTTTAAGTAAGATTTTAGACAGCTCAACTCTAGCCCCCGAATTCCATTTTGCTCTAATTTAGTTAATAAGTCTCATAGATTAAGTTAAATCAAATGACATATTAATATTTTTTTTATGATACCAAGTCGTGCGGCTGGTGGTAAGCGATACGCCCGTCCATAGCAATCGCAGTGCCACTCAGAGCTTTAAATCGCAAAGATCTGAGAGGCGCCTGTCACTTTGAGGCATAAGTTGACAAGTTCCATGTGACTGTAATTTCACCGGAAACTTACCCTTCAAAAGCGGAACTTGCTTTTCAGATTATTCGTTTTCTACGACAACTTTTGAAATATTAGGTCACCTTATTCATAGCTGGAAATCACACAACCTTCAGATACACCTCTCTACATACATATAATTACGTAATACGATAGTATAAGCTTACAAAAAGGAGAGGTTGCCAAAACGGGCGAATTTATCTAGCAGCGGAAGTCTTGGCACTTCCTGCGCGTCACAATGGCTCCTCCATCCGTTTCCGCTCGCGTGTGAGCTTGCTTACATCTTAATGAATCGGGAGACAAATTACATTAATCTTGCAAGTTATTTTATTATGCGTAGTTATAATGTTCTAGTAGACAGTTCAATAACATCGAATCGATTCGTAGCGTATAATTGAGTTTTCTCATACCGTTTGAGTTTTCCAATAAATGAAGCATTTCGTATTATGGTTATCGCAACATTGACTTACAAATAAAGTCAATGTTTCGCAACGAAAAATTGTAATTCAACTTTTTTAACCAGTCACAAAAGTTCGGTTACATTTGTTTAAAATCTCTTTCGAACGCAAAAGTCGTCAGAGTGATAATTTTTTCTTTTTACGAAACAAGGAAGCGAGAGCATGGGCTAACGAGCGCCTCGGGCTTTGGCGCCGCCATCGTCGTCGGGAAAGTTCTTAACCTCATTAAAACCAATACATTAAAGTCTCCATTTACATAAGGAAAAGATAAAGACAAGACGGGGCGCCCCCTGTCGCCATTTTTGTTTTTTAAATATCGAAGGGGAGTTAAGGGGTGGCTATTTATAGACGTACCGGATCGAAATTCACGAATTCATAGAGCTCGCTCAGCATTCGTTTCATTGCGTAATTTCGTAGGGTATTTTTTTTAATTTCCCCTCTTTACGAAACTTGCTGATTCGCTGAAGTTGCTGTGCTTTCCTTTTTTTTTTACTAACTTTTTTCAATAAAAACGCCACATTCTATGTTGTTCGTTACTTATTTATTCTAAACACATTTCAGCCTTGCCAACAGTATGCTAAATAAAGCAAATTCTATGTCATTATCAGCCAATTTTATCACTGTCCAGTTACAGTGAACAAAAGGTAGAACATTTATTAACAGCAGCTGCAGAGCGTTCTAAATTCGGATGTTGTTGGCCAGTTCCATTAAAAAAAGTTCCAGAAAAAGCTTTTTACTTGGCTTTTCGCGGTTAGCGCTTCATTCACTTCAAGGCGTTTTGACTTGTTTTTATAAAGGAGAAACTTGTAATATCTTATTAGTTAAATTTGAAAACGGGATTAGGAAGATGGAGAAAGGGTGAATTATTTAAAAAAACAAAAACCCGACTGCAAAAAAATTTCGCTGGAAAGATAAAAAAAATATTCCCCCTTATTAAATTATTTTGATTATTTTTATAACCTATGACACTCCCATAATCAAGACGAATCGGCACCTCATATGTCAAAATGAAGCCATTTAGGCTGTACAGCGTGAAAAGATATGGACATACATATATGCATACATACATACACTTGAAAAACATAACCCTCCCGCAGTCGGGTAAAAAAACTTAACCTAGAAGGAAAAAAGTTAATTTGTAAGAAGTATCTGTTGGCGGGTGTCACGTTAATAAAAACGTGGTTGGTGACAATCATGCCGCCAAAACTCGATTTTAAAACTAGATTTGATTCTGTTTAGGTACTGTTAGCAGCATTAAGTAATTTCGCTTAATATGGATGTGGCAGTTTGACAAACCATATTTTTAAAATGTGCACATATGCATATGGGAAAATACAGGGTAAAGTAGTTACATTACCGACGCGTTCTGTAGGTTAATTTGTATCTTATATAATTTTCAATTCTTTCTGGTAATCGAAGTACATTTATACAGTGACGAAATAAAAGTATAAGATCCGTCACAAAGCTCTTAAATAGTATCCATCTTTTTTATGATTACTTTATAGTTTAATGTAAGGATCATTTAAATATTATTTAATTAAGATAATATACAAGTAAGGAAAAAGACAATAAATGCTTAAATACTAGAAAGCAAAACTAGGATTTTTAAATTATATGAATAAAATTGGGTCCCTGCGGCAAGGTGTCCAAGATGCTGGCAGCGTTCCCCTTTGTATTGTTATGCTAATGCGTTGGGCAAGGTAGCTCGCCCAACTTTGCTGGTTGCTGGCCCTTGGGTTTCCCAGATAGTCTATTAATTTTTTCGATAAAATTTTGTACAGCTGAAGAGCACTGGTACCCCACAGGCCAAGGGTTTCGCCTCCAAAGGCTGCAAATAGGTAGTCGGACCCGAGATCTTGGTACTTATTACTTTTTATTCTTTCCGCCAGCTCAGCTGCGGAGCCAACACTCTTGCTGGTGTGCAGGAGCTGGGATGGATCAAGTGTGTCGTCACATGTGGCGTCCCACGCCAGTACCCGGCCTATACTCCAAGGGATGAGAGTCATTCCGTCCGGGCGTTTGCCATCTGTTCGCGACATGCCGCTTGGTTCGAGTATAGCGGGCAAGGCCCGGCGGGTGATGTCGTTGAGGGCTGCATACCGGGAGATAGGGCCGGCGCTCAGCTGGCAGGAAAGACCGTGGTGACCCAGAGCACTTAAGTCTTTGCCGCAAGGACACCGATAAGGGTAGTCATTTAAAGTCTTTTTGCACAGTATATTATCCCAGCTCCTTTGAATTTTGGGGTCGGACGTAGAATTTTCGTTGGGGTAAGCCTGGTTCAAGGCGTTTCTAGACTCAATTAACCACGTCCCCTTGCAGTTTGTCGGCGGAAGCCTTAGGATACCGCCTACGAGGTTGATCGTGCTGTAGATTGAGTACAAAAAGGCCGGAAGAACTATGGCTGACATACTCCAGAGGCTTAGACAGGCTCTTAAATTCTCTTTGAAAATTTACTAAGATGTACAAGTTTAGGCGTCGAAGAATTTTTCTTAGTATTATTCTATCTTTCGTGTCAATAATAATATTATAATTGTTATTTAGGTGTTAACAGCATCTTGTGCGACTGCACAGCAGTCTCTACATCTTTTGGCGCTAACCACACGTGAGATCAGCAAGTATCAATTAAACTTTCGATTTTACTACAGCAGAGCGGTTTTTGTAGCAATAGAGCTCCTTGTGAAAGAGTTCGTACAGGGAGGTACTGCCACCTTACTTATTCTGTCATGTCATTCTGTAAGCATTATTGCGTTCCGGTTTTGAAGGGTTTTTCACCGTTAGTGCTAGTTAAATAACAGGCACATGAGATTTGTCAATATATGTCTCGGGGTGACGGGCGCAGTGGCAGTGCCACTCAGATGTTTGTGATTTAAAGCTCTGAGTGGCACTTCAACTAAAATGGACGGACGTGTCGCTTACCACTAGGCACATGCCTTGTTCCTCCCGTCACTTGCTATCTTAAAAAAATACATCCACACAAATTCGAATCAAAGTGTATTCCATAGCATTTAAGTTTATTTGAAAAGAGCAATCTCTCGTTCTTCTCAGGGAAGTCCGCATAGAGTACGAGCAATAGCTTAAACATGACGTTTTCAAGTGTAAATATATTTTACCTATGGAATAAATGATTCTTTGATTTTGACATAGTTATTTTAAAACTTTTTTCACATTCTAACTTGTGTGTTCTTATTGACACGGAAATAGTGCTTACTCAGTCTCCTCTCTTTTCTAAATGTATTCAGCGTTATGGTGTAACTTAACTTAATATTATCGTTACTAAAAATGTACAATATACGAAATTATTCTCATTACCTACTAGTGGCGTGATCTGGTTTTTATACATCATGGTGCAAGGCAAGAGCGTACTTTCAATAGACACAAACTAATTTGCCTTACACGAACGGGTGTGTCGGACTCGGGTCCTGTAGAAAGGACGCGATGTATAATACTCGCAACGAGGGTCGAGGGATCCAATTGAAATTAAGATGTCCAGTGGAAGCAATAGTTCTGATTGGTAACGAAGAGGACTTACTTGCAAGACTAAAGTAAATTATAACATGGTTTATTTGTAAAGGTATTTTTAAAGTTTACGTAATAGCGCTAGGAATACTATTAAACGGAGGAAATCGAGTTTCTTTAATTTTAATTTAATAAGTTTAATTATATGTTAATACTGAAGTAGGTAATGTTTACAAGGGTTTTCTACGTAGCAATAAGGTCAGGAGCAAACTCTTCTACTTAATCCGCTTACTCACACATACTCGTAAATCAAGATTCAATTAGTAACAGACTTATAAACTACGTTACTACATACGTTATTTTAATAGATCTGCCTGATACAAGCCTGTCTTTTGCGTTTGATTTCTTCTTCTTGTGTACAAAATATAATATTTATATTTGTTGCAGTTTAAAAAAGTATTCCGTAAAAAGGTTGTTGTTTGTGGTTATTAAAAATTTAAACCATAAATGAAAATTGTTTCGAAATTTATTTTTATTAATTTTTAATTTTTTTACAACAACCATACCAATTGAATGGGCTCACACCACGGAATTTCGTGTACTATGATTATCAAAACAACGGAATTCACTCTGTCGTACTTCCCAGTACACGCAGACTAGAATCAATTTACAAAAGTTCATTTCCCTTTTTTTTTTTTTTTTTATGTTAACTAGTAGGCAAACGAGCAGGCAAGCCACTTGATGGGAGGTGGTCATTGTCGCCCATGGACACGAGCAATACCAGAGGCATCACCCATGCGTTGCCGACTCCGGAGAACCTTGTTTACACGTCTTTTGAAGAACTCCATGTTATAGCGCAAGGGGAACACTTCAGGAGGAAGGCCATTCCACATCTTACTGGTTCGGGGAAGGAACGAACGAGATGCTCGAGTGGTCGTGACGTGCCAAGCATCGAGGAAGTGGGGATGGAGTCTTCTCCTTCGGCGGGTCGTGCAGTGGTAAAAGAGTGACGGAGGCACCAACTCAAAGAGTTCGTCTGAGCACTCCCCGTTATACAGACGGTAGAACACACATAGAGAGCCAACATCTCTCCGCAAACTAAGGGGCTCTAAACCGTCTGTAAGCATAGGGTCGTCGACAATTCGAACAGCCCGACGTTGGATGGAGTCAAGTGGATCAAGCTGATACTTGGGTGCTCCAGCCCAGAGGTGTGAGCAGTATTCCATATGGGGCCGAACCTGAGCTTTGTATAGCAAAAGCCGGTGCCCCGATGTGAAACACCGCTTCGCTTTGTTGAGCACACCAATCTTTTTAGAAGCCATTTTGGCTTTATTCTCCAAATGACCCCGAAACTGGACTTCGTTCGAGATGTCGACGCCAAGGAT